ACTAACTTTCTGGAACAATTTTTGTATCATTTCTGTTAACTTCATCAAAGAAAAAGCTTCGACTGGGATATGGAATAATTTTCGTGGTTTCAGTTCAACAAAATTAAAAAATAATCCGACCAAAGACTGGCGTAGATTTTTTTTTATGGTATATTAGCAGAATACCTAGGTTTCATACAAACTTTCATCTCCTATTTTACCCCCTTATAGGTTGAATTTCGAAAAAAACACGTAGGTATTTATTTATTTGTGTCGAAGAGCATTAACACTAAGTTTTCAAGAAATTCTGATCAGAAATAAATTTTTGGATTATATTATAACGTGTTTTTTCATGGGATTGAGATGATCTTCCGCGGTAAAAAGCCTATGTAACTCTCCAGCTCTTCTATCTTCACACCAAAAATCATGCCAATCCGTCACTCCGTTTCGACGTGAAAGAAAGACAAACAAACAAACACACTTTCACATTTATAGTATTAGTATGGATTATATCTTTATTAAGTATGTATTTATATGTTAAACTGCCTCGGTGGTGTAGTGGCTAGCATGTACGGCTGCACACCCGGAGGTCCTGGGTTCGAGTCCCGGGTCGGGCCAAGTTTAGTTATTGAGTCTTCCTGTATAGTAAGTCTCAGTAACAGCCCGGAGTTGGGAAGTTGGGCGGTGTTTCAACCCCCGTGCCTCGGAGAGCACGTAAAGCCGTCGGTCCTGCGCCTTAACTCTCACCGGTCGTGTCGAGTGGTCGTCCCACCGGAGTATGAGAGTGATAGGAATAGAGAGTGCACTTGTGTCTGCGCGTACACTTGAGCACTATAATATCTCCTGCGCAGTTGGCTAATCTCATTGAGAATTGCCGCCGTAGCCGGAATCGGCTAGGAGAACATGATTAGTAGGATAATTGTTATTTCGTTATTACAAATATAACTAATGTTTCTTCTTCATATCATGGAAAACTTTAAGATCCTTTATTTAAGAACGCTATTTTCATTTCCTATTTATCTAAGTTATCGGCTGCAAACGTTATCGAGACCAGGTCATATAGCATGGTCGTAAAATTGTGAACTACTAACTAGCAATTAGTTAGATAAAATAATTAAATCAATTACACAAAAAACTTAAAAAAAACCGACTCCGTTTTTTTTAAGATTTTATTTTTCCATTTTTAGTGTAGACGTTATAACTAATAAGTAGGTCATTTGTAAGAATAAACATATTCAGACCCCTAATGACAGTCACAATCCATCTAGGTGTAAAGTTCTCATCAATACAAATTAGTCAAGCCGAAACAGCAGGTAATTGCTGTAAATCGTTGAGGAGTTCCCTCGACTGTCTTTCGGGTCCATCATCAGATCGAGTCCAGACCTTCATTAAATAGTAGTGCTTTAAAATACTTAATGAACAAATTAACAAATGCACTAGTCACCACTACGATTTACGAAGGTTCCCCTCGATTACCCTGGGATGCCATCATCAGATCCTGGTTTCCTTATCATGGTATCACCCTTGGGATATCTCCTTTCCAACAAAAAAAAACAACAAAATCGGTTCATAAACGACGAAGTTATTAGTGAACACAAATAATACCTATATAAAAATATATATGTATATATAAATTTATTCTAGTTCAGTTTAGGAAGTCTAGGAAATGAAAAGAATGCTTACGAGTGAGGAGAAAGAAGTTAACTATTTGATGTCAAATATAAAGGATATTCCATTAATGTGAATGAAAAATTAAAAGAAACCCCGACCACCTTGGACCAATTTTCATCAAACATAGCCTCTCAAACAAAAAAAAACAAAATCAAAGTCGGTTTATCCGTTCGGAAGCTACGATGCCACACACACACATAGACACGTCAAACTTATAACACCCCGTTGTTTTTGCGTCGGGGATTGAAAACCAATAGCATATCACCGGAAGACTCAATGGTCAGATCCAAGTTTAATGTAGAATTATAGCTTTGAGTTTACCTACTACTATGTACTTGATGATAATATTACGGCTAAGAACTTGAGATGATATTTAATAAACCTCTTTTAAATAAACTTCCTAATTTTAAGTGAGCTCTGTCCTTTTCAGGAAATAAATGTTTGTTAACCTACAACTAGAGGTTGCTACCTTATGGGTGTCCCGGGGTTTAACTGTTGCCTCCTGTAAGCTTAGTCTATTTATTCATTTTTTTTCTTTGGGACATTAACACACAGCACCATCTAGTTCCATGGTAAGCTACGAGCCCTGTGTTATGGATACCAGATAGTTGATACACTACACATATATAAACTTTAAATACATACATATTATAAATTCTAAGCCTATTATACATATATTTGTTTCCCTCAGGCTCAACTGGTCCTCATGAGTCGCAGGCGCTGTGTTGAAACCTCCACAGGAGAGAGACGAGCTACTTATATTCCGGTCAAGCAAGAGGTTTGTCTCATCTATCAGTATTCAGTGCGGCACGACGCGGAGGGTTTAGGTCGCTTGGTACTCACGTTATATTAAATTAAAATTACTAGTTTATTATATTTTTAATGTCAAAATCAAAAAATCTGATACTCTATCTAATTACGCGTAATATAATACAGCTACAGTAATCTAGTTTGTAGTAGGTAATCAGTTATCACAAATGACATAATATGAAGTATTATTAAGTAACATAGATGTAAAATAAAAATAATAGTCATATCGATGTTTAAACATCTAAATATATTATAATAATGGTTTTACTGTTTTATTTAAAATTCATTACTTTATTAGCATAGAGCACGACTCGAGTCGCCCTCGAAGGCCGCGAGTCGCGTCCGGCGTCAGTACTCAGTCGTCACACATACATACCTACAATACGTAGCTACGATTTGCACTTGTAATAACTTCTTAATACATAGTTTACCTAAACGTGTACAATTACAAATTATGTAAATATTTGTGACTGTCATTACACTCTTCGCGATAAGATGTCGACCTCTAAGTATTGTGTCCGAGACGAGACCTAGGTTATGTGTTCAAGGTTAACTCCTTATAATTGTGGTGAACAAAATCGTACATACTTAATATGTAAATATTCGTACAAAATATGTTAGTGTCGACAAAAAAGATCTTGGGAATTTTGCGGTAAATTAAAATCATTAAAATGACGTAAATTAAAATAGGTACCTATGTTAAAGACACTATTCATAATAAAATCTACATAACACAATGGTAACAGGGTATAAGACAGGTTTTAGGAACATGTCTCAAGTTGTTTGTTTTAGCAAATTACCTACATATTCTGCAATTTGGATTGTGAATTTCTTTATGTTTTTGTGAAAATCACCATCAAAATTTAAATGAAAAAAGAGGCAGTTAAACGCTAAGAAAACTATTCATGTAGATCACGTCATGACGTCGTACCGTCACTTCCATAAGTCACTGTATGTTACACTCATAAGTCATTAGACGTAGAGAATAGACTGAGCAATACCCTTATGAAATTTCACCACTCTCTAAAAAGAGAGCGAGCGAACGTGCCAATACCTATCTTATTAATATTTGAATTTATAAATTAAATGTAAAATAGTTATAAATATCTATCTTCATTAATTATATTTTAATGAATACAAAAAAAATTTGATTGTCGGTTTGAAAGATTTGTCTCTGTCGCGCCTTCCCGCCATTTTTAGCTGACAGCTGTCAAAGAAACAGTCCACTCTCTATGTATATATATATATATACATTGTTCAAAACTTCGACTTACGTTTACTGTGAACAAGCATTCAGATTCAGCCCAATCCCGTGCGTTTTCAATCACTTGATTAAACATGATAATTATTATTTTTCAAAATGATTTCTTAAAAAAAATCATTTTAAATTAATGTATTGGCTAAATTACTTCAAAAAAGTGTACTTTTGAGAGTTTGAGCTAACAACAATTTGATATATGTACATATATTTTCATTTTAGTCAAATACCCTATTGTAAACAATCATAAACAATATAGATCTGTTTTGAGTCTCATTCATAGATTAATAATAAAAAAATTAAATTTATGTAATCTGTGGTGCGGGGAAGAAACTCGAAAATTATGCGAGTCAATATTCAAAACAGAAATAATATTTTTTTTACTATTTTATGTAAATTAAGTAATTTATAGCCATAATGCCAGTTAATTAATGAAAATTAATTAATTGGCGTTATTGCTAAGAATCTATACATATTGCTTAATATTTAGGTAGATGGGCGGGACAAAGAAACTAAATATTAATAGTTAAATGATTATTTTCTAAACTTATTTTTTAAAAGGTACATAATATCTAGAGTTAACCGACAAAGTCTAAATATTAGTCGATAATAATCATATACAAAGTTGATATTGACGGCTGACAATTTAGGCCTTAGTATCATTGCTATTTTTAGCTACTAGGAGCATTGCTCATCATCGAAGTCGTCGACGGCGGCACGGGCGGCGCGGGGGGCACGGGGGCGGCGCCGCGCGCGGGCGCGTCCGGCGGCGCGCGCCACGCCGCGCTGTACAGCGCGGTCGCCGCGCACGCGCCGCTCAGCGGCCCCACCCAGTACACCTGCAGCCATCGTACAGTGGACAGTCAGTCAGCAGTCAAAGCTGTGGAGCTCGTAGGACTTCATTAATACTCTTAGAAAAAGGATAAAGTTTTCAATTTGATGCATCCTTATTTTGTGATTTATATACATAAATTTTCGCCGAATATTCAACCGAATAGAATGATTCTATTTCGTATTAACTAGAGAAGATTTCCTATTTTTTAATTTAAGGGATAGCCTTTATCCTAGTTACGATCGATTGAAACGGTAAACTACACTCGTTATTTATTTATTTTACTCTAGGACTAAATCCCAAATTGTTATTAGAAATTAATAAGTTACCTTTCTGGAAACCACGGACATCGACCAACATTACTTTTAATGAAGAACAAATGTGTGAAATATGTCGATTACAATAAACCTTAAATTACTACAGTTACCCAAAGATCACCCCAGTCGCCACTGAGAAGTGCGGGCGCGAAGCTGCGCGCCGGGTTCATGCTAGCGCCGGTCAAGTCTCCCTGAAAATTTCACATTTAATTACTCGAAAGGAAAGCCTCTTAATTTCGAACAAAAATAATATATAAGTCATAGGATGATTTGATAAATAGAATTTACACAAAAACTCTAAGGAAGTTGCGAAAACACGGAAAATAGACAATGGTGAAAACAATTTCAATATATATATTTTTTCTTTTAAAAGTAAGCGGATTCCGATTGGTCTATTAGTAGGAAAAGGTGTGACGTTTCACGTCTTTGTGACATGAAATAAATTCAATATACCACGTCTTAATAAGTTTCACTCAAAAATTACGCTCAGGCAGAGATGAGCGGGATTAAATATGCGGGACACCCTTTTTGCGCGGGGCCCGTAGCAATTGCTACTCTTTGCTACGTGGTTAATCCGGCATTGATGATTGGGTAAAATAGGGGATAAAATAGTAAGAAACTACCTTTTTAGAGAGCTTTTTTGCAGTTTATCGCGAGCGAAGCCGCTAGTTGTTAATAAATAATAATAGTCAGATTTGATAGAAACTAATCAAATCCGTTTACTAATTCGCGAGCAATTTAAAAGACGTAACTTTTCTACATATATGTGGTATTTAACATGAAAAGATATTTTAAATCTTGTTTTTTTCCAGTAATTAATTTAGGTTTAGCTTTTTCAAACATAAAAATAATTACAACATTAGTATTAATAAGTATAAATAGTTTACAGCGACGAGCGACAACGCCGTGACGACGGCGCCGATGCGCAGCGGCCACGAGTCCCACGAGGAGGCGGTTGCGCGCGTCCCACGCCGCCAGGTTGGCCAGCGCCAGCACGCCGCCCAGCAGCGTCTCTATAGCCAGCGCCTGAAGGTTTATATCACTAGATATATATATGTTGTCAGTGCAAATCCTTTTAACGCTACCGAATTTTTCGAATTCGGAATTTTAACATCGATTTTATTTAAGGTTTTATATCGGTCGTTATAAAATATGTATTTTAAATCGGTTAGGAGGACAATGTTATTATTCCACGTGTGTTTTTATTTAAGCGTCTGAAGGAGAAAATACTGGTTATTTTATTTATTTAAATTGTAATTTATTATTTGACGTATCCATTATCTTTCTAAAATACACAAACAGGCACTCACTTGATACACGGAAATATTCGCAGCCGGTTTAGTGACGCATAGCGCAACCGCGCGCGGCTCGAGCAGCAACAGAAAGCGCGGCGCCCAGCGCGGCACCGGCCAGCTGCGCGGCGCACGCAGCGGTCGCGACCAGCGACGACGTGCGGGCCCGCCAGCGCCGCCGCTAGTGAAACGACGGGATTGAGCTGCGCGCCCGACACGTGGTCCAGGCACTGCACGAGCGCGGCCACGGTCAGCCCGCCGGCCAGCGCACGCTGCACCGACGCGCCGGCCGCCGGTCCCGGCGCGGCGCAGCCCGGCAGGCAGCCCAGCGCCACCAGCAGCGCCGCGCCGCACGCCTCCGCCGCCGCCACGCGCCACAGCGCCCCGCGCGCGCTGCACCGCCCGCGACGTGCCTCGCCGCCCAGCGGTCGCGCCTCGCCCTTACCTACCGCCTCACACCAGCTATACACTCGCGCTCATACCGTACACATCTTCAATCTTTATTGTGCCTCCTATCCTCGTGCTTCGGCGAACACGTGGCACAGTTATTTCTATGCCGTATCAAAGAATAGAGTGCACCAGTGTGCAAGGGTGTTATAATATACTTATTCAGTTTCGGAGTATTTAGATGTATCATGTACATGTGTATGATAGTCTGATAAGAATGGCTGCAATAGTAGAAAGTCAGTCAAAAAAAAACGTTAGTGTTAAAACATCATTCCATTCTTCTCGAATAAGATAATTTTTTATGGAAACAAACAACGATCAATTATGTAAGAGTTCAGTCACACAGTTTAGATACATTTTATTAGAACATGTTGAATTGTTTTTATTCTTCAGAAACAATAGATAAACAGTAATTTTCGTGATATTTTTTTAGTGCATAAAGATTAATCTTGAGACAATATAATTCTAAGTCAAATGAGGATAGAATTAAATGTTGTTTGTTTTTGATAGCGCGCTGTGATCGTGTCATGAAGATAAGTACATACACAACAAACAAGGAAGCGAAAGGTACATTCTAAGTATATTTTATGACCATCGTATTTATTTTGTTTAAATAATTATATTTATTAATGCATTATAAAGTGTTTATAAGAAATTCAGAAACAACGATTTCTCCGTCCATGCTGATTTTTCATAAAAAAAATGCTGTTGTTTAAATGAAACAGTAAATTGTTTTGATCGTATTCAATAAATAAATAAATATACTATAAATTACTAATTTTCTACGTAACTACTAATAATCAGTTAAGTTACTAATAATCAGGTCTATCGTCATTTCATGTCTGAGTTAAAAAATTACAGATAAATTGCCCAATAGGTATTTCTATTCGTGTATAATAAAGATTGATGTGTAATTTACATTAAACTTGTAGAGAAGTTGCATAAATTGTGTCACTGGTGACTGATGAGCATTACAAAAAAAGTTCTAAAATAAAAAAACTTAAAAAAAGAAAAACCGACTTGAAGGCACTAAAAAGGAAAAAATAACTGAATGGGAGTTTTCATTTACTATAGATCCTAATCCTAACCTAATAAGATAATTTAAAGTGCGTCATCCGACAATGCTTTAAGATATTAGGTAATATCTAATAGGCAAACATTTTGTTAATGAATAAAATATTTTTTAGATAAATGACAAGGTATGAACTTTGTAGTCCATACTAATATTATAAAGAGGTAGTTTGTGACTTTGTGAGGATCTATGTATAGATAGTATCTAAATGAAAAGTCCCATTCAGTTATTATTATTTTTTAGTGCCTTGACGTCAATTTTTTTCTTTAGTTTTAATTTTTAATGTAGAGGTATTACAGTAAGAAGATAGTAAGAAGAATCGAATATCGATATAACAAATTAAAACTAGTTTTTATTAGTAACACTCAAAATCAGGCTCTAAAATCCAATTCTTTATTGTATTGGGCAGTCAAATCAAACAAAATAATCCCAAACTAAAAGTATCTACCACTATTAGCCTTTAAAAAGTTCTACTATGTACCTTCTGGCATTACCATCAGATCAGTACGACGATACCGACTGCACTACAGCGGAAATACAAACACTTTTCACTTTTAATTTCAAGTCAATATGACAATTAGAAATAGGTAAACTTTTAATAACCTATTTTTTTAGTCTGAGGTGGTATTTTCTTTACATTTAAATGGGACCAAACGGGAAATATACACTCTCAAATAAAAAAAAAAAACAAATCGGTTAATAAATGACGGAGTTCTGAGATAACAAACATAAAAAAATACAACCAAATTGAGAGCCTCCTCCATTTTTTGACGTCGGTTGAAAGAAAGAAAAATGTGACTTACGTTCTGAAACTACTGAATGTGGCTCTCCAGAGTATACCATGACGACGCGACGGTGCGAGCTGTTGAACAGCACTACTACACAGCCGGCTCTACTTTAACACAATTTTTAACTGCAACGGTCACTTTTACTCGAGTAGTCAATTAAACTTTCAACTCTTTGCGGTAACCATGTTTGAGATATTTTTTTACTATTGCCAAACTAAATTTTTTTAAACCTGGTTATTATAGCGGTGGTGTAACGTGATATGTTTTGATGGTAGCACAGGTTTTACTATATATACGCAAGGTGTGCTGATTATCGTGTAAATTACAAGTTGACTTTGTTTGTTCAGACGCGGCGCGCGAACTCGCTTATCTATGCAGGTACAGAAAATAAAGTCTAATATTTGCCGAGGCAGTGTCTACCTATCGATACACGCTGAGAGTTAATTGTTTACTTTTATGACACTGTCATACTAATTTTGTCACAGACATATATGGACATGGTAAAGTCAGGAAGAGGAATGGAAAACATTGAGTCAGAGCAATTTACAATATAAATTATTCTGTTTTGTGAAGTTTCTCGCAAATCACTTTTGGATGAAGAAGCTGGTACCTATACCTAAAAATATAATAAAACTACTAATTTTCTTAAAAATCAAATACCTACTACCTAGGTACCTAATTTTTTAACCATCTACGCATATAATAAAATTGTAACTAAGTCGAATTTGTACATTAAATATTTTTTGGAAAATCTAATTGAAATAGATATCATTATCGATATAGAATCCGAATCTAGTTTTTAGAATTTTTGTCTAGTTATAACTTCTTTTGGTGCGTTATGAAATATAATCATTACTGGCTACAGTGTCAAATTAGTCGTTAAATCTCCTTATATTATAGTGTGATGTCTATATTCAAGACCTTTATTCCGGTATTTCTGTATACACAACTTGATGAGCGAAATACAATATTCAAAGTGACGTCACCGTAAATCCAATATGGCGGCCTTTTTTTATAATGAATCCCCATGATATGAATATCAAATGAAAGAAGAATACGAAAAAAAAGTAAAAAACATTAAGAAAAAAAGGTTAAACATAAAAAAAAACTTTTATTTAAATGCTCTAAAACTTACGTGCTTACATAAGTTTATACACACACACTCTATTTTAATTTTTTTATTTACAAGTTTTTCGTACTAACTAGTCAGACATTTGGAGTATTTTTTAACAATTTCTTATCCAAAATTAAAACTTCTTTTAAATGTAAGTTAGACATAATTTGTAATCGCCTTTTAAAAACCGTGTCGAGTTGTTTTGGGAAAGTTAATTTATATATTGGACTACTACTATTGTTATTAGACCACTAATGTGTGCAACTGCCTCGCTCGTCTAGTAGCCAGCAGGTACGGCTACAGGTCCGGAGCTTCTGGGTTCGACCATGGGGTCTCATCACGAGTAAAGAAAAATTTGTTCAAATAAATGTCAATAGATGACCTTACATGTATCGAGTTGTTATTAAATAAAGTTGTGTTAAATTAAAAGACAAAACAATAGATCTCAAAAAGGTGCACTATTGTTTAAAAAAATATTTTAAGTATAGGGAAACTAAATACTGTGCTAGTAAATCAGATTTGCGTAATTTTTCTGATTATTGAAATATCGGCAATTAAAGAATTGTTTATTTCTATTAAAAATTGGTAAAATCACAGATTTACAATAATTATCATAGGTCAGCTTGCACATATTTATAAAATAAAACAGTTTAACTATTGCGAATCAACGACGTTTATTACCCACGGCGGTGGGGCTCAGGCGCGGTGCGGGACGTGGGGCGGGTGCAGGGCGAGGTCGAGGTCACGGCGGCGCTGCGCGAGGCGCGCGTGCAGGTAGCGCGCCACGCCCTCGCCGGCCCACGCCTGCGAGTAGAAGGCGGCGCGGCGCTCCTCCTCCGCGTCGCCGGCGCCTCCGGACATGGTCTTCAGGTCGCGCGACTGCGACACCAGCCACTTCTGCACGAACCGCTGCGGCTCCTTGCTGAAGCTCAGGAAGAACTCGCGGTTCGTCTTGAGCTGGTTGATCGTGTCGACCGTCTCGTGTATCTTCGCGTCGAGCCCCTGTATCTCCTGCTGGTTGGCGGTGCTGAGCAGGAAGCTGTTCATCTGCGCCTTGAGCGTGTCGTCGACCTCGACGTCGATGTCGTAGCAGGCGGTCTGCTTGGCGTCGTGCGGCGGCTCGACGCTGATGAGGTGGTTGATGACGATGGGGTCGGGCGCGTGCAGCAGCGCGCCGAGGCGCGCCGGCACCTCGGCCAGCTTCATGCGCGCGCAGCCGAAGATCTGCTCGAGGTATTTGTCGCAGACGACGAGCTCGCGCTCGTGCGCGTCCTGCAGGCGGTGCGTCTTGACGTACTGCCACAGCGCGTTGACGATGACGGGGCGCGCCTGCGTGTGCACGCCCAGCAGGCGCGCCAGCCGCGCGTCCAGCTTGAACTGCAGCGGCTGGTAGTCCAGCAGCAGCAGGATGGTGCAGCGCACGTTCTTGTAGCCGGGCCGCTTCACCTGGAAGCCGTCGGTCTCCTGCGTGGTGTGCGTGCGGTGCCACTCCACCAGGTGGTTGTCGGGCCCGTACAGCTCCTTGTCCAGCTCGATCACCAGCGACTTGAAGAACGACGAGAACTTGCGCTTCACCTGTTTGTCCACGGAGAGACTTGTTAAAACGTAAGGTCGACTCGCATATATTAGTATATTTCTTTTTACTTTCTATTTATCAACTAATGTTAACTGTGTGTACCTTATTTGGGTCGTTTTTAGAGTCGTCCAGCAGCCGACCCTCCACGCGTAGCTCCCACGACGCCACGGCGTTCTCGCCCTGACCTGGAAATGTTTATTTACCACTTATTATGAAGTTGTTGATGACAATCATTCCAATATTTATAGTTAAAAGTTTTTCATTTGTCTAACTAAATGGCGCTAAGGTCGAGTTAAATGGGTTTGACCACCATCTGGAATGAAAATTTGAATTTTCCTCTATTATATCGTTTCTGAAGGCAGTGGTGCCTAGTGGGAAACCAAGTAAAACAGGTTCAAATCCCAAGTCTCGCATCTCTAATATTTTCATGTGCAAATCATTTCCAACATGATTAGGATTACCATTTGTCTCACAGTAAAGGAAATAATCTGCATGTCTGAGAGAACCCAGCAAGTTTTCGAAAGACAGGTAAAGTCTGCTAACACGCATACTGGGTCAGCGCGCGAAATAAAAATAGGGCTGAACACACAATAAATGCCGTTTCTATAGATTTCAACATGTTATGACAATATGTTTCTGCATGATACACACCTGGGTAGAAAGTGTTGGAGATGAATATCCGCAGCTTGCGCTTCTGCTTCATGGGCCGCTTGAGCGCCTCCTGTATATCGAGGCGCTTGCGCATGATGGTGGCGTCCAGCTTGCGCTCGAAGGCGAGCAGGTCCATGTAGGCCTGCGACTCCGGCACCAGGTCGCGCACCTTCTGCGGCAGGATCTTGTCCGCCAGCCGCTTCTTGCGCTTGCCGCCCGCGCCGTAGCCCTCGCTGCGCCGCGCCCGACAACGTTACGGTTAGTGTGGCTTTATACAGGTGTCATCAATTCTGGGCCCATCCCGGTGGGCAGCTAACCAGGCGGATTACACCTGATATTTCTTTGATGGCAGTGGATCGTGGAAGCAACCCTTTGTTAACGTGGTCTGCCTCGGCAGGCCTGCCGACGGGGCGTCGTGGTTAAGTGCGTAAACGATCCTGCGACTCCCCATTAAGGGAAAGGTACTGTTAGAGGACTTTCATCTCCATTTTCACCCCCTTAACGGATGATTTTCGGAATAAAAAGTACCCTATGTCCTTCCCAGGGTCTCAAACTATCTTCTTACCAAATTTCATCTAAATCAGTTCAGTAGATCCAGAGATTACCCCCTACAACATCACAACATCACAAACTCACAAACTGTACCTCTTTATAATATTAGTATAGATTATTATTAAACAAAAATTAGATAAAAAAATTACATCATTTATAATTTGTGATGTATCACCTGGACAACATTCAGAGGCATAGTAAATAAATTTATATCTATTTGAATAAAGTTAGCTATTAAACAACTCACCCAGCGTAGTGCTGCGGTTTGTGCTGGGGCGGCAGCGGCGCGCGCGCGTCCGGCGGACGCTTGGTGGCCGCGGACGCCGCGACGGGCGGCCGCGGGGGCGCGTTGTAGGGCGCGGGGGGGCCGGGGGCGCCCGGCCCGCCTCCCGGGGCAACAGTGGGCGGCAAGGGTGCTCCGCCTCCCGCGCCCCCTACATACGGTGCAGGCCCCGGCCGGGGCCCTCCGGCAGGGCCACCTGCACTACCCGCCGGAGGTGGTGTGAATCCACTACGTGGCTATGGAATGAAAAGAGCAATAAATTAATTTACATAAACCAATAAGCCATTTTTAGGTTTACAAACTGAATATATTTGTATTTTCACATTTTTATATTAGTAATCAAGGCAGTAAAGCTAAATTAAAATTGAAAAACAAAACACCAATGTAATTGCATTGCTGCCAAGTCAGACTCCAAAGGAAAGTTCTTTTAAACTCCTTCATTTCCTGAAAATATTTATTGTATTCAGCCCTTTTTTTAACGTCCCACTCCTGGCCATGGGCCTCCTTACAATACGAGGGGAAACAGGCCATAGTCCAACACACTGGCCAAGTGCGGGTTAGCCTGCGTGGTGGACTATGGCCTGTTTATTACTTATACATATTTACTCTCCCAATCATCTCCCCTATCTAAAAATACTACCCACTCTTCCAGAGGCTGTGTCAAGTATACTAAACATGTGCCGCTTTAACTTTAATCATCCTGTTGTACATAGGATTAACAGTAGTTGTTAACTAACACTAATACTAAAAAAAAAAATGTAAATAACTTTTCTAAAGAAAAAAACACTATTTTTCGATAGTTGAGTATATGACGAGAAGTGCAACACTGGCACGGGCAACATGTCAAATAATTATATATTAGCTCTATCAATTTTTTATTTCTTAAAACAAAAATATAGGATGTATACCTAGTTTATAAAATTGAATTTAGGTTAAATCAAGCACAGTACTGTGAATAAATTTAAGTCTTGGGCAAAAGTATCTCCTATACAATAATTGTAATCCAAATAAAAAGAGTACTGCATAAAATTGACTGCAAATTGCAATACATAAACAACATTTACATCATATTAAAAATTAGGCTTAATATTAGTATTAAAGGTAAGTAAAATTTGATAAGCAAAAATTAAGTGAAATAATTGTCAATGCAAGCCTGATATTATTATTTTTGAATCCACAATATTTACTTATTCTACATTTTTTTATTTATAAGATGAACGTACCGGGAATGTAGGTCCAGCGTAAGGCCTCGGTGGCATTGGAGAACCTGGAGGTTGTGCAGGTCCAGGATAACGCTGTTGTGGAGGTATGCCGCCTGTAGGAGGCGCTGGGCTGGGCCCACCAGCCGGGAAGCGTTGTGCCATATTCACTTACAAAGTTACACCTTCTAGGCTACTACAGGCTACACTCATTCAATTCACAAGTACTGAAGCAGATTATAAACAAAAAGAGAACTCACTATAATTAAACTAAAGATCAGATTAAAAATTACATGGACTTCCTATTTTAAACAAGTATTATTTTATAATAGTAATTATTCTACAACTTAGACATTCACATTTCTTGAACGCCGAGGACGCCATCATATATTTTTCATCTGTTGACGACCATAGAGTATATTGCTATTTAAAAAAATTACAAACGACTCACGACAATAATAAAAAGCACAGATAATAAATACTTTTTGTAATAGAATATTAATCCAAATTGTGTTTATAGCTATCCTATTAAAACAAAAATTAATGACAGTAAAGTATACATTATGTGTATTATTTCAATTTCACTTCCTAAATATTATAAGCTAGCATTTCTCGTGGCTCCGCCCGCGTTAAATGTCCAAAAACCAAATTCTTAGGCTTTACATATAGCTATTAATTTAAATTTTAATAAATATTACAAATTTACAATTTCAAAAGAAAACTTTTTATTAGTAATCTTTCTAGTGTTGCTATTATTATATTTATAAACATAAAGAAAATATTTAAAAATATTAATTAATTAAGAAATATTTATGTTCTATGTGTAATAAAAAAAAACAAATATTAATTTATTAATAAAAATAAAACTAATAAACAATACTATAGCCACATTTATAAATTGAAAATATTAATTTGAATTACATTATTTTGATCTACACACTAAGAACTAACTACACCTAACGGTCTGATAAGTGCTCAGACCAATAAAAAAGTATAGACGGAGCCGTTGTAAACAAACGCGACGAAATAAGTGATGCAAATTTTGGCTTTGTGTGCGTAACTCTGTGTAAGATAGCGTAGATTTGCGCACGTGTGCTAGAGAAAAATGTTGCAAGCGTTGTGCTTACGACTCCCAAGTGCAAGAGATATACTTTGATGAAGAGTTTTATTATAGGTAGTATAGTTTTTTATTTGCCTTGGTTACATGAAATGAAAGGTAAATTAGTTTAATGAGTCATTTATTCTTAAATAAAAATAATTTATAATTTAACAATAGGTACACACAAAACTTACTTATATTAGAATAATTATAACTAATTTGACGCGTTTTTCTTTTTAAGACCTTTAACCTTCTGATTAAGTGTTTTGATTTTGCGTGCATGAATTTGATAACATAATTTATACTTTCTGGCTTGTTGTCTGAGTTTATTTCTTTTGGGAGTGTCAAATATTGATTCTAGTTCAAAATCACGGTTTTGACGTTTAATAATATACCTAATATACTCGAAAACTGAAATACAAAAAAACAAAACGTGAATTGTTTTTGCAACAGTTAATGACACAGGACGGCTTAATTTCGCAATTATTATTTTACCAAAAGCACGTCACGCGCTCTCACCCGCTCGCGGCCGACTACCGAGCCGCCGTCTTCATATGGCTGATTCGTCTTTATAATATTACTTGCATCACTTTTTGTGCGCAATTCTTTGTCTATACTTTTTTATTGGTCTGAGGATAAGTGTTACAATTAAGAAACCTTTGAATTTAAAGATTTTAATATCTCACTCGGCACAAGTTCAGTATATAGGAGTATAAGTCGGTGGTATTTTTGGATAGGGGAGGTGATAGGAAGTTCAAATATATAAAAATTATTTTGATGAAACGAAGGAGTCAACAGTTATGGAGACTCAAAGTTGGAACATTTCCATACATTTATATACCTTAATAAGTCATTACAAAAGATAAACATACCTTTAACAAATAGTAAACATTCTTTTTCGTGTAAAATCCATTTTTATAACTTTATTTTATTAATATTTTAATAATTTCACTAACAACAATAATCTAAACAAAATATTCTAAAATTTTGACAAAACTGTCAATTTCTGTTAATACCGTTTTCAGGACATAGTAAACAGACTATATCGCTTAATAATTAGTTTAGAGTTATGCATTAGTATTAAAAATGAAAATTATCATAAGATTACTAAGATTTTAAAATACAAATATGTTATTTTCAATTCATGCATGCGTTTACGAGTTTTTATTTGATTTATGTAAAATATTGAGTTACATTATTTGATTTTATTATCTGTGAATACTTTTCTGTATTTTTGGCGGGTAGTCACAAAATACCGCAAAGTTCGATAGTTTATGTGAATACGATCTATACAGTATACTCAGTAAACGCGTTTAGGTTTTCATATTTTTTGCTCTTTTTCATAGTTTTGTTTCTCATATTATTTTCCAGTAGCGATTAGTTTTTGTTAATTTTCGTATACATTCGTTTCTAGTTTTTTGTTTTAATAGTATTACTATAGTTTTAAGAGTTCTTCGTGTTTTAAGTGTACTCATGTAAGTTATAAACGTAAGTAGACTATTTTTTTAATTAAGTGTAGTATTTATTTTCGATTAAGTGACAGTCTGACTTGGATAATTTAGGTTGAGAAGCGTAGCGTAGTTCCCGCCTTAGCCTTCTCGTTTGGTCTTTTTTTTATTTCAAACCCAGAACCCCTGCTATCATTGGTGCTTTATGTTTATTTTATAGTTCCTTGATAGATCTTTCTCATTACTTGAAGACAATTTTGGCACTTGGAAGTGACATTTTGACATTTCAAGTGCAAAATGGCAGTAATGTCATAATAATGTACGGAAATGTAACTTTAAGTCGCAATAACTTTTGACTCTTTCGTTGCCTCAAAATAAATTTTATATATTTGGACTTCGTATCACCTCCCCTATCCAAAGATACCACCCACTCCTCGAAAAAATACCCAAATTAATGACTAAAATCTTACGACGATTTTCCTTTATATACTATATGTTAAATTATCGAAATATTTTGGACATCTACTACTTAGCAACAACTTTATGTTGGTCAATTTCATTGCTTAGTATCACGAGCTATTATTATTAAAACATTGCCTGTTTGAAGTTTAGGTACGCTACCAAATATTTTTTCCATAAACACTGACCAGATATCAAAAAAATGTAAATACTTATTAAATTAACAAAAAAAAATAAAAACTGACTTCAAACAAAAGCACTAAAAAGTAAAAAAATAACTGATTGGTAGTTTTCATTTACTATACATACCTAATGAAATATTTTCGAATTCGGTGTGCTTTGGCTAAGTAATTAAAGCCTACCTATTAAATACATATATACCTAATCAAATATTTTTGAAATCGGTGTCAGCCCATACAAAGCAAAGCACACCGACTTCGAAAATATTTCATTAGGTATGTATAGTAAATGAAAACTACCAATCAGTTATTTTTTACTTTTTAGTGCTTTTGTTTGAAGTCGGTTTGGCACAAATTCAGAATTGGGGACTTGGCCCCTAGCGGAGTGGGTGGTATTTCTGGATAAGGGACGTGATAGGGAGTCGAAATGTTAAATAAATTTTTTAATACAACAAAAGATTCAAAAGTTATTGAGACTTAAAGTTACAACATTTCCATACATTTTCATATATTTCTTTACCACCATTCGGAGTGGGTGGTATTTTTAGATAGGGGAGGTGACAGAGAGTCAAAATATATTAAAAATATTTGGAGGAAACGTACGACTAAAAAGTTATTGAGACTTAAAGTTATAACATTTCTAACACATTTCCATACATTTCTTTACCTAAATAAGTGATTACAACAGATAAACATACCTTTAACGAATAGTACGCATCCTTTTTTATGTACATTACACATTTTCACAACAATTAATGCTTTATTGTATTTAATATTTTAATAATTTCACAACACAAACAAAATGATCTTACATTTTGACAAAAGCAAAACTGACACTTTGTTTTATATTACTGCTTAAATGACAACAGATTATATTTGATTATTTTTGCTTTTTCTGTTGGTAAAATATTAATATTAATAAATAAATAAATAAAAAGAAAAATATTATTTTCACTTTATAAATACATTTATAACTTTTTATTTGATTTATGTAAAATATATTGTTTTACAATTGTACATTTAGTAAAAAAAATCATTTTTTTATCTGTGAATATTTTTAATTATTTATTTATTATTCGTCATATCTGGGTTAGGTTAGGTTAGAACATTTAAGATTATTTATTTATTATTCCTCATATCTGGGTTAGGTTAGGTTAGAACATTTAAGATTATTTATTAATTATTCGTCATATCTTGGTTAGGTTAGGTTAGAACATTTAAGATTATTTATTTATTATTCCTCATATCTGGGTTAGGTTAGGTTAGAACATTTAAGATTATTTATTTATTATTCCTCATATCTGGGTTAGGTTAGGTTAGAACATTTAAGATTATTTATTAATTATTCGTCATATCTTGATTAGGTTAGGTTAGAACAGTTGCCACAACGCACGAGCCGAGCGAGCGAAGCGAGCGTGCCGCGGTAGCGGCCGGCGAGTGCCATAAATGACTAGAAAACTAGAAAATTCGAATTTCACGCAAAGTACAAATAAAGACAATCATCTGGAGATCATTTTGACAATTGAAAGTGACGTTTTGACTCCAAGTGTCTAAATGGTAGTAATGTCAAAATAATGTATGGAAATGTTATAACTTTAAGTCTCAATAACTTTTGACTCTTTTGTTGTATTAAAAAATATATTTAACATTTCGACTCCCTATCACGTCCCTTATCCAGAAATACCACCCACTCCGCTAGGGGCCAAGTCCCCAATTCTAAACGGCCGCCGTCGGTTTTTATTTTTTTGTTAAAAATTTTTATTATTCCCTTTATAGTGTAGACAGTAGTAGCAAAGTAAGAATTCTAACGTGTTAGGCTTGTCAAATCAAACAAAATAAGCCCAAACTCAAAGTATCTACTATTAGCTGTTGAAGAGTTCCACCTATCCACCTTCTGGCCTTACCATCAGATCAGGTCAACAATACCGAACCACTGTACTATCAACGGAAATAGAAACACTTGCAAAGTTTCAAGTCAATATGACAATTACAAGTAGGTTAAATTCATTATTAGCTATTTTTCCACTCTTAGGAGTGGTATTTTTTTTTGAAAATTAAATAATTTAAATGGGACCAAGCTGGAAGTATACCCTTTCAAACAAAATAAAAATTGTCCAAATCGGTTAATAAATGACGAAGTTCTGAAGTAACAAACATAAAAAAAATGTCGAATTGAGAACCTCCTCCTTTTTGAAGTCGGTTGAAAATGTCGCTTTTATTTTATTTTTATTTGTTAGTTTTGCTCCATATCTAATAAAGTATGGTTGTATAATGTATTCATAGTAGTAGTTTGTAACTATGGACTAATTTCAGGGCCGGATTTACCATAAGTGCCGCCCTGGGGCACCATGAAAAATATCGCCCTATTACCTGATGTTCTCCTGACCGAATCCGGCTACGTCGGCCAATCTCATTGAGACTAGCCAACTGCGCAGGAGATATTATAGTGCACAAGTGTACGCGCAGACACAGGTGCACTCTCTGTTCCTGTCACTCTCATACTCCGGTGGGACGACTGCTCAACACGACCAGTGAGAGTTAAGGACCGACGGCTTTACATGGTCTCCGAGGCTCGGGGGTGAAACACCGCCAACTTCCCAACTCCGGGATGTTACTGAGGCTTACTTTACAGAAAGACTCAATAACTAAACTTGGCCCGACCCGGGATTCCAACCCAGGACCTCCGGGTATGCAGCCGTACTTGGCAGCCACTACACACCGAGGCAGTTAAGTTTCCTGTTACCTATATACTGCATTACCTATATCTTACAGCAGGGTCTCTAGGTACGTTTTCATTTTTTTGAACGGGACTCTAATTCTTATTCTAAATTAAAAGTAGCCTATGTTACTCCGTATAGCATCAGCTATATGCCAGTGATAATCCGGTCAAAATCAGTCCAGCCGTTTCGGACATTAGCCAGAACAAACAGATAGACAGACAAAAATTAAAAAAAAATGTGTTTTTCTTATGAGTACCGTATGTAATTTTATATGTATTTAGTAAAAAGCTAATATTTTGTAATAACAAACAGACATTTCAATTTTATTTATCTGTATAGGTTTATATGTAGATTAACCAGGCGAATAGTCTCCGCGGCGACATATAGACCAGGGCTGAAAAAGTGAAAAAATAATAATAGTAGGATGAAAACCATTGGAAAAGGAAGAGAATATAATAAAAATGAAAAGAATAATAATTTACAGCCGATCTGAGGTCGTGAAGTGGCAGGGGTGAGCTTTTAAGGGTAAAAAACGGTTTATCTCGATTTCCGGCAAAACTACAAGTCCTATGAAATAAAAAATGGCAAAGTTGTAGGTAATAAAAAGATCTACAACTTTTGTATTTTTACTTTTTTCACATAACCTCAACATTTATTTTAAAAATTTAAATAACCAAGTTTTAGGTTTTTTATTTTTATCTTTTACAAAAAAAAATCTTTTGACGAAAGTTGGTAAAAACTTACCTTTTTATGTACCAAAGATACAGTAATTTTTGTGATTTAAAATATTTATTTTTTCTCCTTATTCTGACTTAATATCGAAAAAGCACCCTAATTTTCAATCAGCAATTCTCGCGTCAAAATATCTGCTTTCATAAAAAATTCGGTGAGTTTTTTGTTTGATGTTATCTCTACTTTCTGATGGTGTAAAAAAGTACTTTAAGTACTATAGTAAATTTTATCAGAAAATGCAATTAATAAAGTTAATATTTAATAAGATATCTACAATATTTTGAGAAAGTTGTAAAATCTTCTTTAAATTATCTGCGTAGATGCCTATAATTTACTGCTATTTTAAGATTATAAACCACAGTAAAAGCAACAGTAATCATTTCGTATTATGTAAGATATCAAAATTTTGCATTATGTAAGATATGTGTTTGGATTGTGACCTCTATTCAAAAATAAAACCAAAGTACATGTTTAGTAGTTTATAGAAATTATAAATTATTAAAAATACTCGTAACCAGGGCCGTCTTAAGCCGTCCAGGGTCTTGGGCACACAACAATGTAGGGCATCTTAAAAAAATAAAAGAGATGTGAATATAATATGTGAATGTAATAAAAAAATAAAAAATAAAACCTGACTGCCTTTATTGCACTGTATTACATTGTAATACATAACAAATTGAGCTTCTTTTTTTACATAAATGAATAAGTATGTCTTGTTTATCAGGGCCCCGTGAGGCTGGGGGCCCTGGGCACATGTGCCATGTGCCCTTATGGTATAGACGGAACTGATCGTAACATGGTAGGTTCAGGAAATACTTATAAGGAGAAGGATGCGCAAATTTTCTTGTGACTTATATAAGATTCTACATTCTATAATGCCCTTTGTTATATAGCCCCTAACTACGAGTAAAAATATTACGTGTAACTTATTCAGAATTAAATTAATAATAATTATTAATTACCTATTATACGTTTGATTACTTATTGTAAAGATCAATCTAGTTGACCAGACAACGATAAATAATAATTCTCTATGAAACAAAGTTGAAACACTTGGAAATTTAGCAGCTATTAATAAGGTCCATTGCGTTTATCGAATGGTAAATGCTTAGATTAAAGGTCTAACTCTAAAAGTTTAACAATAATAGACTGAGGGGCACACTTGAGGACATTTTAAAATCCTAAATAAAAACTTGGCGAGGACAAGATTTAAGTAAGGTAACTTTTTCTTAACAAAGTCAATGCCTGATAATTAATCGAGGGCTACTATTGAAGTGGAAGCGAGTAAGATTCGTAATTATACTTGACTTGGCTGCACTTACGAGAGTTACGAGTATATATGTAGCCTCCGTTCCACCTTTGCTTCGCGGTAACGGAAACAAGTGTGATTAACAAAATTTTCCAAGAAAATCAAAGTTGTATCTACCAATTGTTAATCTTGAAAAAATGCAGTTTATCAAGACGTGGGAATAAATGCTTAAAAGGGATAGTTTTCATGGAATGCTTTACATATATTGAAGATGTTAGCACTACGTGGTGTTTTGAACGTGTCAAGAGAGTAGTGTCGCGTGTAGGATGACGGTGCGATTGTGAAGATGTCCAGGGGAAGTGTCCGTTGGGGCGGCTGGTGCACGGAGGGCGCGCGAGGGTCGGGAGGTCGGGAGGTCGCGCCGGGGGCGTGGGGCGTGCGGGCGCCGCCTCCGGGCGCTCGGCCACTCCGCCGCCTGGCCCCAGTCTGCGCCGCGCCGCGCTCGCGACCGCACGTGTCCCCACTCGCTCGCCGACACTCGCCGGTCACTGCTCACTCGCGGCTCACCAGTTGCCACCACACCGCGTGTCTCGTTCTCCTGGATTTGGCCTATCGGAGTGGCGGTTCGCATCTTACCGGGCAGCATTAGAGTCGTAGTTATTTTCTAATACTGTCAGGTAAAGATGTCGTCCGCGCTCCACGTTCTGCTCGACGAGTCGACGGAGGCGTTCGCAGCTCGGCCGGAGGAACCGGTCCAGCGGTTATATTTACCGGAGAGGAGAGTGAGGCTGGCCGGTCTCCGCTTGGTGGCGGCGAGTGGTTACGTCACGTGCGCGAACCGGTCTCCCGCTTTCGTAACGAGACTTTCGACCACCTTCCTGCGTGTCTGCCGCCCGTGATCCGTTGGCCGCCATGCTCGCCCACCTACCTCTGTACAGGTATTATTGCCCATTTTATAAACTTCAAGTATTTCATATCTGTATAGTACAGGAGATAAATAACTGAATCTCATTATCGACCTCCTAAGGTAGTCAAATTTTGATATAAATATACATATAGTCACTTTTTATCGATAAAACGTGTTTTTGGTACTCAGATATCTCATCGTCAACACTTTATTACTTCATTCCCAGTAAATTAAATAGTGAACTTACTTAATACCAAATTTGTTTTCACTTAACTTTCGTTTATATTTAGTTGGGTGTATCTAGTTATATCTTTTACTAGCATTGCCCGCGGCTCCGCCCGCGTTCAAATGACCAAAAACTAAATTCTTAGGTTTTACATATTAGTATACTCTTCAGTGCAGTTTTTGTATTTTTTTCTCAGAAATGAGATATTTGCCCGTGGTAAAAAGTATCCCATATGTTGTCCCGATAACCAGCTATCATCATACTAAATTTCATCAAAATCTGTCCAGTGGTTTTATCGTGATGCGGTAACAGACAGACAGGCAGACAAAAATTCTAAAAACAATAGATTCGGACTCTGTATCGATAATAATGTCTATTTCAATTAGATTTTCCAAAAAATATTTAATGTACAGATTCGACTTAGTCACAATTTTATTATATGTATAGATTAAAAGAACGTAAACTTCATCAAATAGTTTTATTTATTTATGTCATACGTTGAGTACAGATTTGCTACGTGTCTACCTTCAAATGTGCGTCCGCTTGGTCCGACCGCGCGGCCGAAGGTTCCGTAACATTCTATAATCGTAAATCGCACTGACTATTTACATAATAGGCCCTTATATCATTTAGTGAACCATGCCATCGCCCATCTTAACTGTTTTAAACACATTAAATTTTATAACGTTGTACAAAATGTTTACAACATGTCCGTTATTTGTCCAGAAGCTGCTGAGACATTACTGTCTTACTGTTGCAGACGTTAGTGATGACTCTGCAATTACAATAATACATATACCCTGCTTATCACTCGAACAGGCAATACTCGCCCAGCGTGCTATGCAGAGATCTGACATAGCATGCTTGACTACAGAGCGGACGCCACTATTTCCCCATCAGTGCTCATGTAATCCACTTAACTAATTAAAATTCCTTGTCTACACAATGGCCATACGTTTTCAAATCATTAACTTTTCCCTCGGCCTAAATCATATTTACAATGAGTACTAATAAAGCCATTGAGTGCATTGTCTAATTATTTTTCTTGTGAATTTAAAAACTCGCATCTCAACTTGTATCTAATATCAGGCAGTTAATGTTGTTATGGTTTGTATAAATATCCTACGTAACCTATTCTCATGTCCCATAACGCTGTGCCCACTTGCAGCCTGAGTAATGTCATAGCTATTAATTAAGAAAAGTTTTACGCTACGTCAGTCAATGTGCACATCTGAACCTTGTAACATTTGACGCAGGTGTGGGAATCTCTTCTATAGAAATGTTTGACTTCGACAAAAAAATATTAGAATAAGATTGTCATTGGTCGTTCGTGTGTTGTGTAGGGGTGGTCACTGGTCAGCTGTCGTCCTGTGACGGCGCGGTGGTGTTTAATTCACGAGAGCGGCTGATTATTTTACTGGAGATGTGGTGCATTATTCATTAGTGGATGGAAAGTTTTGGCTTTCCGAATATAAAGATGTGGGTCAAGGCCCGAGACGCTGTTGCTCCGCTGCTGGCGCGCCACTTTGTGGTCATTTAGATGCAACCTCCTTTTAGAGTTGCTTAATTACATATTATAACTTCCGTCTCCGCGGCACCTACTGCCACAAAAACTTGCCATTGAAATTTCGCATATTCCAATTAAGTCGCAACGTTCTCTCGCTGTGTTACTTTATAGCACAATGTACTTTTTATTTCCTTAGTATTATTTAACCATCTTTAATGTCATATTTTGCTATTAAATTCTATATAGAAATGTAAATTTTGAGAATTTTCATTCATAAAATAGTATTTTTTGAACGTATTTTGAAACGTAATAGTTGTTACTTCAGCGTAAGAATAAATGAAGGAGTTGATAACGCAGAAAAGAGGATCGTGGTATCGGCCGATGTCAAAGGTCAGTCAGTATCGCATTGTTTTTGCTCTAGAAGGGTCGCCGGGCTATCGCGCGGGTTATCGCCGCGACGCTTGAACATTTGAGCGCTAAGCGGAGTCGACACGCGGTCGCCGCATGCCTGCATATTTATCAAGTCGAAGTCGAACCTCGGCTGTCGGCTTGGGTTCGGGCGAGTTTTACCAAGAGGCTGGAGAAAGCAGCAGTAAATTAATCGCTGTGGTGGATTGCCGCTTTCGAATCGAATTCTTATCGGCACCGGAGTGTCGCCGCCATGTCGCCAGGTCGATTGGAGTGCGGGACCGGTTCTTAATTTCCTATAGGTGCGCTCGCTGTGCATCTATTTCGGGAGTCGTTGACCGCCGGTTTGGCACTGCGGCTGCGAGGACGCGGTTTTATCTGTTCGTGTTGTCGTTCTGGGAGCCGCGCCACTTTTGTATAAAACACGCGTGTATTTCAAGCGATGACGTAACCGGGGAGCGTCGTCCCCGGGCGCCGCTGGGACGGACCTATTCGAATATAATAACATAATGTTTTTAATTCAGCAGGGCAGGTCGTCTAACCCTCGTTTAAACCACGTTTATTGCTCATCGGCCGCACTCGGCCGTCACGAACATGATATCCCACGTGGCGACGCGTCGCGCCGAGCATTGTTGTGGGCTATTTTTATCAGACGCTAAAATGAGCCACAGATCGGTCGCCAGATCCTCTGTGACGATCTTACGAGCATTACTTACAGACACACACCTTTTTCAAGTTCTACCTTATTTGACAATCTTCATTATAATATAAAAATGAATCACTGAATGTGTTGCTAAGCGCAAATCTCGAGAGCAGCTAAACCGATTTCGCTAATTACTTTTTTAGAATATTCCTTGAAGTACGAGGATGGTTCTTACGGAGAGAAAAATTTAAAAAATTGCCTGAAAAAGTCTAAAAACAACACTTTTCTATCCTCCCATACAAAAGATTCGTAATAATACTTAAAAGTTAATTTGAACTTTAATACCATATCATAAAGTTTAAGTGTTAGTGGAGAGGTTAGTATCGTATAAATATTAATGTCAATATTTGTCAATATTTATACGATGGTAACATTACTCAAAAACAAATCTATACAGATAAATTAAAGTGTCTGTTTGAAATGTCAAAATAACAGCTTTTTACTAAATGCATATGGATGTATACACGACACATATACTAAAACAACATTTTTTACCATTTTTGTCTGTCTGTCTGTTTGTTCCGGCTAATCTTTAAAATGGCTAAGCCGATTTAGACGCGACTTTCACGGGCAGATAGTTGATGTAATAAGGAGTAACTTAGGCTACTTTTATTTTAGAAGAAAAATATTCAAACCAATGAAAAATTTAATAATATCCGATTCAAATAGGGAAGTTGTATACAAACCCTAGGGACGAACCCGAGCGAAACGGGGGTGAGTCGCTAGTCTATCATATAAATAAACGATAAAAACCACCATAGTCAAAATTAAGTATTGTTAATTCTTATTTTGTAATTAACAAAACAAAAATATGTGCCTATTGTGAAACTCAAGTCTATCATATAAATAAACGATAAAAACCACCATAGTCAAAATTAAGTATTGTTAATTCTTATTTTGTAATTAACAAAACAAAAATATGTGCCTATTGTGAAACTCAAACGTACAGTATACGTGTCAGTACAGGCCAAGGAGAAACGATAAGAGATACAATTTCAATACATTTGTCGTTTTTTTATAAAATATATTTGAAACTCATGCGCACCATTCATATGGTACAGAATGTTATCTCCAGCATAGGATGTGCGCCGCGCGGTGCGGGAGGGAGGGACGGTTATCGGCTGACCCGTCACTCGTCAGTTCTGGCGGCAAAAACAAGTCAATCCATGAAGTCGAGAGTCCGTGACCCGCTCTCGGCTCTCAGCACCAACAGGTTTGATTGACGACGAGCTTTCTACCGCCAACCGCCGCGGCCGTCTCACCTGCTCCTCCGACACATGCTTCATCCTTCAATTACATATTTAAATCTCGTTACACTTGATCTCGTTAAATAATTTTTAAATATAATATAATATGTTTCATTAAAGTTTAAAAGAAACCGTTGCCAGGAAAGCGATGATTTTAAAAATCAAGGAAAGTCGATTTAGGTCTGACTCTGAGATAAGCTAATCGACATAGATACAAAAATCATTTAATACTTTAGATAGGGGATCGATAACTCCGATAAGCTGCGCCGGGCTGGCGTACAAACAGTGGCTGATCACGCCCTATCGCACCAGCGGCCGTCGACTATATCTTTGAGCGCGATATGAGCAAACAAGACTTCATAAATTGATTTGCCCATAAAGATTGCTGCCTACATAAGAATATCATGTAATTTAAAACAGATTAATTATAATTGATACAAGTTTTTTTGACAATTGATATATTTGGATAACTAATGCATAAATTAAATAGTAAAGCGACTCCTAAGAAGAGCGACTATCAACAAACTAGAATGTATGTAGAATGGGGATGTTAACAATTTTTCGGATTTGCTTTTATTTTGAAGATTGACTCATGTTTACCATAAAAAAAAATCACTAAAAATATTAGTATTTTCGATGAGAAAATATAAAAAAATAGAGTAATTTGAATTTTCCCGCTAAAACACTAACAACTGTCACCTGACTGACATGACGTCGCTAACCGCGAAACATTGGTCGCGATTCATGACTGTATGTCCCGCTTATGTGGTTTTTTATTTTTACTTGAATATAAACAATCAAAATAGATAAATTATATTAAACGTAAAACTGTACTTACAAAAATGTTTTCACGTTCCTGAATTCTGAACCACAAAAGTCTTTGTTTCTTGCAAAAACGTTTGCCACTATCAAAGAATCTATATTTGGTAAATTGGAACTATTCCCTTTAGTGAATCCAGATTCCATCGTGGTATTAATATTAAGTAATTCACAAATTAATTCCTTGCTAAGATCGCAAACTATATTAGAAAATGTAGAGAAGTAAACAGTCTTTGGCAGCTTGTTTTGCGGTTAGTGACGTAATAAGTTCATATTGGTGTTTGCAATCACGTGACAACAGATTATAAATATAGCATTTAAAATCATTTTTAATAAATTTATTAAGTTATATTAAATTATAAAAATGTGTTTTTCGATATTCTAATAATACAAACTATCGTAAAATTAACATTAAACATTAATTTGTGATTAGTGTTAACATCCCTATTGCACGGGTCCCGACTCCCGAGGGGTGCCTGGCGAGCGACGCCGCGCGACACTCGAGTACGCGCGTTAATCACCGCTCGGTCGCGGGCGCGCCTTACAAACACTGTTATTTGGACATTTTATGGTTCGTTTAAATCAATTATAATGTTACGCCTTCTTTTATTTTTATGTATTTCGTCTCTTTATGGGCAGATAATGACAAGAGCATTACGACATTTAGAAGAAATGAAAGATGTATGTAGGGGCTAAGGGCCAATTCACATGAAAGTTCCGCTTAAGAAGTAAAGCGTGACCTGCTTAATATTTACTATATTTTCAGTCTATGAGCATAAAATACATATTATGATATATAATCTGTTTTTATTTTAGAATTTTTAGAAACAACAGGAGAAAAGCGAAACATACTCGTATATAAAAATTAAATGTGTGGCAGGTAAAAAAAATTATGTACAAAGCGCCATAACCAATCATATTGAAGCAATTTGATTAGCTTCATGGTTGTATGAGCTCAGGTGCCCAGAACGCTAACGGAACGATTTGAAAGACAAATATATGTGAAGGGGCAACTTTTCTTCAGTCAATCGCGTCATAAAAATTATAAATCAGTTACAATCCAATAAAATATGTGATCGTTTACTTAGAGACATACTCCATCGAATTTCGATTACAGACGATAGGTACAAGTAGGTACTAGTAATAAAGAAACAAAACTTTATAAGTACTTTTTTTCAGTTAATATGAACGTAATATCAGAAAACTCATATAGAATATTTAGATATTTAATATAATCCACTTATAATAAAACGGGCTTAAAGATAATTTGCAAAGACGAGATCCTGATAGTGGCGAAGATTTCACGTAGCAAAGTGAAGGTGGTGCTGTTTGTGGGCACACATGTACAGTTATCTCTGAGCGGCTTCATAATCCTATGCTAATGCTGTTTTATTTAAATTTCACTCATAAAATATAACTCCTACATTACATTCGGTTCGTTAACCTCCAAATTAGGAATAAAATACGACACAGTATTTTATTCGATAGAATTTGTTACGTGGCCTCTGGAAACAAAATAAACTCACGCCGTTGTGTGGCCAGCCACAAACCTCGGGTACCTTGCGGGTTCCTGTTAGTAACAAGTGGTTATCAAAATATTTTTATTCTACTGCTGTTACTGTCGCAGCAAATATTCAAGAAATATTTTTGCAATATTTTCTATGCAGTTTGCAATGTATTTGTTTATTGACACTCAAACAGTAGTTTTGAATTTTTTTATGTGTACTTTGTATATGTATAGACATACAGATGAAGTATTCTATACATATAATAAAATTCTAACTAAGTCGAATCTGTACATTAAATATTTTTTGGAAAATCTTATTGAAATAGTCATTATTATCGATACAGAGGCCAAATCTATAGTTTTTAAAAATTTTGTGTGTCTGTCTGTTACCGCATCACAAAAAAACCACTGGAGGGATTTTGATAATATTTGGTATAATGACAGCTGTTTATCCGGGTCAACATATAGGATACTTTTTACCGCGGGAAAATATCTCATTCTTGAGAAAAAATACAAAAATTACATTGTAAGAGTATTGTTCTAATATTTAAAACCTAAGAATTTGGTTTGTGGTCATCTGAACGCGGGCGGAGCCGCGGGAAATGCTAGTATAATATAAAGTGTACAAAATCGCCGACAAGTAGTGAGTAAGTGCGAGTGTGTACTGTGTAGCAGTGGCGGCGGGCACGCGAGGCGCAGCGCGGCCGCGGCACGGCGTCACGACTCAATTCACATTACTCGTCTGTTATTTCCTTTTTTCTGCGTACTTCTGTTTCCTCGGGTTTTCCTTCGATCACGCGATTACATTTTAATTAATACTTGCGTTTTTATTTGATCCATCCTTCGCTATCTGCCGCTGCGTGGTTGCTCACTTCCGTATATGCAACACGGTCATACCGACGTGATAGCTAGGCGCAATTATTTTTCACTTTAACCTTTAAAATGTTAGTCTTCTTTTTGTTACATATTTGTTAAAATCACTTATTGCTGCTCAGTACTTAGGTACAGAGAAAGATAGAATATAAGAATTTTTCATTTTTGAAACATGTGAAAATATATGTACGAATAGGTATATGCACCTACTCATATCATAATATATTTAAATGTATTGCTAGCGTGTGTGTATATGTGGTGTAATATTTTATTTAGATGTAATAGATTTGTGCGAGTTTTCTTAAAGTGAGAGCGATCTTCGAGAAAGACGCCTCTAAAAGAGTTCAACGCTGCTAGCGCCTCGCCGGCGGTGCAACGCCGCCCGTAAATATGTAATTTGCCTTTATTACGCGAAGCCACTAACGTTACTTGAAAATTGTTTCAAAACCGACATCAAATTAAAACGAGTTTAAAAGACAACACTGCACTCAATAATTAACTGTACATGCGATGTGGAGCGAACCTGTTCCCAGAGCGATCGCGAGAACTTAATAACAGCTTTATTAAATAACTTAAAAAAACGAACACTATTTATTAATACCTACGTATGCACCTAGTGTACATGTTGATCATCTACCTGGTACCTGTAATGTATATATATATATATATATATATATATATATATATATATATATATATATATATATATATATATATATATAAAATGCGTGTGTGTGTAATTCACACACAGTAGAAGTGAAACTTTAAGTAATACTTTCTTAGATTTACGCGAATGTTTGACATTATTAAATAAAACTATCTTTTCGGATTATTTCGCGGATTTATTTTGATTTTTGGTTCCCGACGTTTCGAATGTTTTGCAGCATCCATGGTCACGGGAGAGACTGAGGTGTTACATGTCTTAAAGATATAGTTGTTACAGACAGCCTACCCACAATCAACAAAATGAAAATTGCACCAATTACATTACAATATTTTAACTTTAAACATTTTTATAATTTTAATTATAATTGAATATGGAATGAGCAACACTATTAATATATTATTTTTCATTTTTCATTTGTAAAAGTATATATTAATAGTGTTGCTTAGTAAGTTGTTTTTAAATAATAGCAAACTAAATTAAAATTATAATCCTTAATTAATTTTAACTTTTTAAATTACACATTGAACAATTATATGGCTTAAATAATTAATACTATATTTTATATTTTTCTTTATGGTTATAAATATAATAATGGCAACACTAATATTTTTAAAATTGTAATAATTATAAAAATAATAGCAAAAATTAAATAAATAATTTTCCATATTCAATTATAATTAAAATTATAAAAATGTTTAAAGTTAAAATATTGTAATGTAATTGGTGCAATTTTCATTTTGTTGATTGTGGGTAGGCTGTCTGTAACAACTATATCTTTAAGACATGTAACACCTCAGTCTCTCCCGTGACCATGGATGCTGTAAAGCATTCGAAACGTCGGGAACCAAAAATCAAAATAAATCCGCGAAATAATCCGAAAAGATAGTTTTATTTAATAATGAAACTTTAAGTTTATTTTTTTTATAATATTTTTACCAAGTTTAAAAGTTATTTTACATTTTATTTGACATAGATATTTAGAAATATACAGTAAAAGCTCCTTATTGGCGGGGTATATGTTACATTTTACTATTTGGTTTGAAATATTTAGTATTTTTTCTTGCATCACCGCCTTTAAAAGCGTCTTTTTATTCCGCTTGATATACAGTTGAGGCTTCATTAATTTTTCTTTTAAAAACAAGGTTATTTTTTTTAACCGTAGCGATTGACGTCATACTCTACCGTCCAAAAGTTTGGAAGCACATATGTTTTCAAACAAAACAAAAGATTGAAGAAGAGTATTTACTAAAAATAAAAGGATTGTTCTTATACAAAAACGTACTTACATATTCGCGAATAACGAAATTTTCGGTCGCGAATACAGGAAGTGAGTCTCAATTTTTCTTCCGCGAATGCTGAAACCGCGAGCAACGGTACCGCGAATAAGGAGCTTTTACTATAAATATAAGTATTTGTCTCTTTTTAATGTCGCATTTCCGTTTCATTTCCGTTTCATCGAATTTCAAATCACAACGATTCTAAAGAAGTTTCCCTTCAAAAATATAGTACAAAATTAAATACTAAAATAAAATTAATAAACGTGTATGTTAAAAAAATATTTCATATATAAATTCAAGAACAAATATCTAAATAAATTAATGAGAGTGACTGTAGAACAGAAGTTAAATAAGGGCAAGCAAGTCACTGAAGCAAGTGCCCGTGCAGGCAACGCGCGTTGCACAACGCATCCGGGAACTATGTAGGTACGTTTGAACAGCAAATGCAATATTACGCTGTCCGATTATTCTAGACCAATTTAGCACCTATTCTTGTGATGTATTTTTCCATTTTCTTCTGAGACCCGTGGCTTGGAAGCTCAAAAGCTGCCAATTAAAGAAATTTATTTAAAAATTGTTAAAGCTTTCCATTTCTCCACAGATACGTTCGCCATGTTCCGTTTATGTCGTCTGTTCGATACGTTCCAAAACCTGGTCTGGTCTCGCTAAATCGGAAACTTTATTAAGTATAGCAAGTTCATAACTGCACTTTATCACTCTATTATGTGCAAAGCTAAGCACGTGATATGGTAAGAAGTTCATGGAACCCAGAGAACCTAGTTCCTAAAAAGTATTTTATTTCATAAGTGCGATTTTCATTTTAAAAAACTACTGATTCCATGCGAGTTAATTAAAATTCGTAGAATTGGTTAATTTATTAGGTTTGTGCGTGTACAACAGATACAACTATGTATGAAGTGAAGTAGATAATGCCGGAGCGGTCCCTAATAATGTTACTCATTTGGATGCCTTTTATGAAAATTAATAAGTTGAATGCGATGTAATCGCATGTTTACGAGCAGTAAGTCAGCGGCCGCGCGAGTCGCCGCGGCCGGCGCGGGGCGTGCGGGTGGTGCGGGGTCGGCGGGCGGGTGAGGGAGGGGCGGGGGCGGGTGTGGCGCTACTAAAAACTATTATTAGAGACATTTGCAATTTAATTAGCGCCGTCGCTATAATGCCTTGTTGGCTAGAATCGCGTGTTTCCTCCCGAGCCGCGCCGCGCCACGCCGCCGGCCGTTACCAATACCTCGGTTCGTGCGAGTACACGTGAAGTATAAACTCTGGACATTTTAAAAACTTGGGAGATACCTACTCACGCTGTGTGTAGGACTTAACTCATAATAATTAATATTCAAAGTTTGAGCTGTCACCATCAAGCGTGAAACATTAATGATTAAGAGAAATACTTACGATATAATATTTTCTGTCAAAAATAGTTTTATTTAGACCTTGGGTATTAAATACTAGAAACAACATCGAGGCTCCTTCCGTCGTAACCTTCGAGAAGTCTATTTGAACAAATGTAACGAGTTGACTCAGCTTTAAAATGACATCGACGATAACAATTCACATGCGCGGTATTCATCAGCCAGTGTAAAATGAGTGTCATATAGTATATAGTGTGGCCGTTATGTGTAGGTGATACAGGACCGGTCGGCCGCGTCGTGGCGCTAGGACTAGTTTGCGGCGAGCCTATTCCACGTAGGTACATACACAGCGAGGCACCTGCCGCATTACGCCCCACACGGTCACACCGCCGACAGCGCCGCGCCATACCTTGCCTTAAGAGTTAAGGCACCCTCACTATTCACATTGCATGAACTAAGTCAAATGCATCACATCAGTTACGAACACACAGCATATCGTTAACGCATATCGTTGTATATGCAGCTACGAGTATCGTCAATGAAGTAGATTAAAATTAAACTGCTTTTGTGAGCACAATAATAATAAATAACAATAAATATCAAACGCAATTAGCATTGAATAAAAATGTGCAGTCATGGAGACGGACATTTGAATGTAATATGAATAATAAAGTCTTAAGAGTAATAGGGCAAAGCGGAACGTGTATTCAAAGGTAAGGTACATTAATTGGCAAGTATCTGCCAATGTCAGCAGCCGGTGATGTTGCGAAGTGCTGAGTAGAAGCGTGTATTTATAGCCGGGCGCCGCGGCGGTGCGACGACGTGCGTGCTGTCCAAGCTCACTAAAAATATGTCGAGACGCTCGTGCGACAACGTGGCACCGAGCGCGGCCGTCTCGTTGCGTCTCCTCGCTTGTTTATACTCGCACCAACTGTGGGCCGCGACAAGTTTAACACCTTACTCCGCTAGATTTCCAGGAACACCTTTAGTGCTAGACTTTCCTACAGATTTTATAAGCCTATAAACTAACCTGTATAGTCGTTTAATTGTAGTTTGTGTCACTTTATGTACTTACGTGTATTTCCGACAGTTTGGCTCACTCCAGAATGTCGAGGGCAATAGCCAGTGCTTGTAACGTACGCGTGGGAAACAGCCAATAAAATATTGGACGCAATTGATGAATCATTTTGCATTTCTCTTACAATTTCAATTAATAGAGCAACCTGAGTAAACCTTGCTTTACCTTATTCTTAGCGAAAGCCATGTGTTAACTTGTTTACTTTAGTTTGGGAATTATTGACGCGCACAAAATACTGACATTATTGCGGTGCAGGTAGTTAGTACCTATTCAATAATGTTCGTGTCTTCCAATTAAAGAATTTGCAGTTTGAGTTCTGTCTTGCAAGAATAATGTGAAAGACAAGTTATATAAAAAAATCAGTTAAATAATTTTGCAATTTGTAAGTGTGAGGCTGTGACGGGTCAGGAGCGCTGTTCACCTTCACGCGGCCTAATTGCGTTCATCTCGGCGATGCACTTTCACTCGTATCCTACATACATACAGGTCTCAAACTTTCATGTAGAATATTGACCCAGTCTGCCCTCAATAAAACATCATATTATTGATTCAGAACCAGAAGTGCTCGCCTTATACACGAGTTAAGTATATTCAAACATTTGCTGACGCTTCACTTGTATCAATACGTGGTCGTTACAATCTTACAATTTGCTTTGTCTTTGCGTAGTTGGACAGAATTTATCGTCAGTTAAAGTAATAGTTTTAGATATTTTAAACTAAAACACTGATCGCTAAAATTTAAAGCTGGTTTAATATTTCAGAAGATCACTTATACTCTTATCGAAGGAAATCCTTACAAACTTTAGAATGAGTTCCTGGAATGATGCTATGCAATTTCTGCTATACATTGATTTTCTTCAAGTTATATTATTACTGCGCGGAAGATTGGGATATGTTTATACGTCAGGTCTGCGGCCCATAAATATTGTGTAATGTGTCTAACGATTAGCCGCATGTGCAGCGGCGTGGCGCGATGCGGCCGCGCTGGGCCGCGCTGAGTCGCGCTCACGACCCGGCCAGCTGACGAATGACGCGGCTTTATAAACAAACAAACAACTTCAACATTTTACTGCTCTTGCCAACTATTTATTATACGAACCGTATATTATTTGAGTTCGTGCGTGGAGGTCAGATGTTATGTCTGTACAATACATCATAATAACAATAAATGGTCGATCGTAGCAGATTAGTTTTACCAGGTTCGTTAAACGTAATTTTTGAAATTCCATTGTATTTATATTTTATGTTTTTCTCGTGTCTGGTAACGCCTAAAATCTGTAAGTATAAAATTATACACAACAAAATTCCTATGAATTTATTTTGAGCAATTTCAAAATAATTTGTTAAGGTAATTGGTCTTGGTGAGAGGTCCATTAATATTGTGTTTTTAATATTAACAAATTAAAATGTAATTGATTTGAATATAAATACAAAGAGATACAAATGATTAATTGTAGTAAGCACAGTTTAGTAATGACTAATGAGTGACAACAGGCGATGTTGAGCATAAATGTTGTAATAGATTGTTGTGGGCCCGTTCTGACGGTGACACTGGACTCGACACGTCTGCCGTGGGCGAGAAACGGTTCTAAGGAGTGACGTGATTTGTTGGAAATGATAACAATGATAGCAAAACTTAAAACTGACTTTAATATAAATTTAATATTAATTAATAATTATATATTTTTTCCTCTTCAATAAAAGAATCATTAAATGCAATTCATAATTTTTAAAGATATAACAATAATAATAAAAGTTTATTAGCAATAAGTTATGACACTAAATTTACACTAAGCGCAAAATAAAGCTTATTACAATTTATGTTACTTACATCGGTTTGTCACTGCCGACTGTACCAGGCCGAGCCTGTGTTACAGACAACAGTTCCTTCCTCTATGACATAAAAGAATTATCAATAAATTATCATTAAACATTATCACTCATATTTTTAACTAAAAAGCCACACAATAATAAAATGACATTACAAGGTCCGTTATACTTTAAACATTGATATTCAGCATTATTAATATTTTTTGCAGTATATTAACCGATTTATTAACCGACGAAAAGGAGTTTACCAAATCGACATGTATGTATGTAATATTATTGGAAGTGTAAAATATTCGCATACGATTTGATACTATTAGGGATATGATCTATTAGGGTTTCCAAACAAATATACAAAATTTTATAGATGTATGTATGTATATTATATATAAATTATATATATATATATATATATATATATATATATATATATAGTAAATTTTTGTATGTATGTTTCATAATCGGATTGTGATGATTATTTTTTATTTGCTAACATTTATTTCAACTTAGGGAAAATGGAATTATGGAAAAGATTTCGTCAAAATCGGTTCAGTAGTTTTTATGATATGAACTAAAACGTGTAAGTGAAATATTTTTTGTAATTATTACCACTTATTGCAAAAACTATTAACGAAAACAATGTCAGTTTTTTTTAAGGATATATACCTAATTATTATGCAACTTAGTAATTACTTTTAGTTCAAATTTTCGTGCCAACGGTCCAGTTAAGTATGACAATTCTTTCAGGAATGATGTGGAATGTAATAATAATAATAGACTGTGTTAGCGGGGGTGTGCGAGGGGAGTGCGAGTAGGGGGGAGGGGGGGGGAGAGGGCCGCGCAGGGGTGACACCAACTGTTGATTCAGCAAAGCGGCGCGGCGCTTGATAATGATACATATTATATTGACAGTCAACAGACGCGATGCCAAATTGATTTTGTCGGGACTCGGGACTCGGGCGACACTTTAATAGCTGTCCGATTTCATTGAGGGAGATATCTTTATATTCTTAAGTCGATATAAAACAAAAGCATTCAATGTTTACACAATGAATATTCGATAGGTACATAGTTGCTTGTTATTAATTTAAAATTTATTACTCGACTGTCACTGACTAAATACTGATTAAATAACTAATAAATACTGTTAGTTAACGTCTTCGGTCTTTTCCGTTTAGATCAACTTGGTAAACTTTGTTGTGTATGTTAAAGCCAATTAGAAAACTTGGATTTTAGATGCCGTTAGTGTATAACTGATGCTGTTTTGTGTATAGAAAATTTAGGTAAAGACAAGATAGTCCTAAGGTCCGGGTCGCAAGTGGGCGATGGAGGGCGCATTAGTAAAACCCACGTGTCGCACTCGCGCCGGCCGCGGCCGCCGACATGATGCTATCGACCGGGTAATTTAACTCTCAACAAGTTCTCTGTAACTCGGACGCTCAGAAACTATACGCAATAATTCTAGATAAGCGTGCTTTTAAATGACGCCCATTTGTTGTGCTACTTGTTTTGATTTAACTCCATCTTTAGATGCCTGACTTTATGATCGGAGATAAACTTGACGATGGCTGTTAATAGCAGGGTTTAATATTTGCCATTAGTTTGTGATTGTATTTGGAAGTAATTGGAAGTAAAGGTATTTACTATTTACGAACTTACATTTTTTAACACTAAGAATATGATACGTAATCAAGACACGCGGTAGCGTGTCCAGCCAATTTCATATCTATGTACTCGTAGGGGATTTGAAAAGTGTTCGCTAAAACGGATTCTTAAGTAATGAATGAAGCCGATTAACAAACGATGTCATGCTAAGAAAATGTCGTTGAACATGGCTACATGCCCATAAGCTCATAATTCCTCACATTGCAGCCTAATTGCAGGGTGTGTCAGCGGGTGCGGGCAAGGTCCTGGCCGCAAAGGTCGCGCGTACACCTGCCGGCGTCGCTCGCCTCACTCGACTACCTTATAACAAGCTTTATAATAGCTCTCTACCGAGTGTGTTCATTTACATTGCATAGGCAGTGATGCTTTGAGATTACACAACTGCTTTAATTTTTGCTGAAACATACAGTAGTTATAGTTAGGTGGTATCATTGAGAAACATTGAATTTTGAGCTTTCCAATACATTGTATGGAAGTTAATAATTATTGATAAAAAAATCAATCTTAGAAAATATATGTATCTGCGACACTCTGGTGAAACGCTGAAAATTTTGAAGTTTAAAAGACAACTTATCATTCACGTGCTTCATGAATTCACGTCTAATGTCTCGTCCATCGCATCACTTTGTCAATGGTTCTGTGTCCATAGTATAACATTATGTCAATAAAATTGCACAAATAACACGAGCACTTATAAACTACCATTATCTGAAAACTTCAAAGATTTATATTATAAAAAAGTTAAACACCGTTTAATGATTTAAATAAAAGAAGGTTCATTTAAAATATCCCAAAAATGTAATATATTTAAACGAGCAATTCTTGTGTAATATATATATACAGGGTCATTTTTAATTTACTGAAAACCTTTTGGGAATATAAAAATTTAAAGAAAATAAAATGTTTATTTTCATACAAAAATAAAAATATTTTATTTTGCACCTTCTAAACTTTAAAGTTCTAGCATCTGGCCTAGTTTAAATGAGTAAGCGCGGCTTCCTACACCCCTCCACCCCTCCCCCTCCACCGGACACACACTTTATTTTGCTAATGCTGGACTATTACCGTTTAGAAGGTGCAATAAAAATATTTTTATTTTTGTTTTAAGATATATTTTTTTCTTACAGATGTTGTTGTTATGTTGTAACTTGTAAATAGTGTATTTCCAAAAGGTTTTCAGTAAATTAAAAATGACCCTGTATAATCTGAATCTCGGAAACGGCTCCAACGATTCGATTCGAATATAAGCATCGCAGTCAGGCGGCTAAGTCGCAAGATTGACAAACATAGATGTCCGGGTTCGAAACCCGGTCGGTTATTTTTACTTTTTTCTTTTTGTATTTTTTCTAGTTTTTTTTTTTAAATAAAATTGTACCTTTTAGCCAAAATCTCCTAGCCAAGCTCGGTGGCCCAGGTTCTATCTATAAAATGATTTATAACCTAACTGTAAATCTCTACGATGCAATTCCTTCCGATATTCATTTATTTTTATATATTTTAGAAAGCCTTCGGCACAGTACCTGTACATTGTGTTATGCCATAATATTTTATTTTGTGTATATTATATCATATATGTACATAATTCACTCTGTAAAAGTATTTATATTTTATATGTACATAATAATATGATAACTCTTTTTATACATTCTTTTTTTATTTTAATTACGTATATTTTTATTTATCTGTCCGTCCGTTCAGCATGTTACTTTATGTCGCTTTTAAAAGGGTTGCCTGGAAGAGATCAATAGTAGATAAGTGACAAGCTGTTTGCACTCGCGTAAGTTTTAATGTTGTTCCTTTTATGTAAAAGGAACAACATTTTGTATGTACATAAGTATTTATGTAGCAATTTTGTGCGACGAAGCTATACGTACATAATACATATAAATATTAAATATCTTTTTATTTAAATATGTGTCTGGTCTTTAATTTCTTTAAGTATTTATTGATTGAAGTACATTTTATATTATTATATTTATAGCACTAGATAACTTTAAATTCTTATCTATACAGATTAATAAAATTGAAATGTCTGCTTGTATGTCAAAATAACAGCTTTTTGCTAAATGCATATAAAATTGTTTAAGGTACTTATAAGAAAAACATAATTTTAAATTTTTTTGTTTGTTTGTCTGTATGTCTGTCTATCTGTCTGTCCGCTAAATGTATAAGAAATTATATATGGTACTTTCTACTTATTAGAAAAACACTATTTCTAAAAAATTTGTCTGTCTGTCTGTTTGTTCCGCTAATCTCCGAAACGGTTGGACTGATTTTGACGGAACTTTCACTGGCAGATAGCTGATCCTAAGGAGTAACTTAGGATACTTTTATTTTAGAAAAAGAATTAGGGCTAAGCTCAAAAAAAACGCACCTAGGGATGCACCTTTTTTTTTTTTTTTAACGTTGGGAAATGCATTTACGCACGACGTGTGGGACTCACCGGCGTAATACAGCCAGTACTACCCACTAAAACCCAACAAAACCTTCCCCCGTCTTAATGGGGCGTCGCAGGATCGCTTACGCATTCAACTACGACGCCCCGACGGCAGGTCCGCCGAAGCAGACCACCACAACCATGGGGTTGCTCCACAGTCCACTCTGCTATCAGAGAAGTACCAGGAGCAACCCGCATGGTACACCGCCCCCCGAAGAGGGCCACCTCCCACCGCCCACCGAAGTGGGCAACCTCCCTGTGCGTTTCTTGGCTTCGCGCCCGGTTGGATTGCCGGGCACTACTGAGCCCCCCCACCACGACAAGGTGAACGCACGTTGGACCTAGGGATGCACCTGAGCAAAGCGAGGTTAAGTCGCTAGTTATGAATAAATATGGAATTTTTAAAGACATTTACATGTGATTAATTTTATTAATGGAACTAGAACAAAAGATAGCAAAGATTAAAACAAAAAGATTACAATAATTGTGTTGGATTCATTATTAGTCCTTGATTTTTCCAACTATTACCTACATATATTAGATATGTAATGTACCTGAATATGAATTTTGATATTTATTGGATGTTCTAAGTAGAATAAACGGCATAGTTAAACTAGCGACTCGCCCTCGCCCCGCTCGGGTTCGTCTTTAGTGAAAATTTAGGTTTGTACGTATTTTTAATGCCGAATCATAAAAAAATTAGAATATTTTTTTGGGATGGATCACCCTTATCACTTAGGGGTATGAAAAATACTTTACGTTTACGTCTTATTCTCAGACCTACTGAATATACACACATTTCATAAGAATCGGTCAAGCTGTTTCGGAGGACTTTTGTTACAAACATTGTGACACGAGATTTTTGTACGAGTATATATTAGATAGATGGTTTAACTTTTTATGTCAGTTTGGGTTTAGGGTTCACGAATACATTTAATGTGGCACTTGATTAAAATGAAACTTAAAGAAATAATCATACAAAATAATGGTAAATATGCACACCAGTGGGCAGGCGCCGGCCACGGACTCTCATTGCTATCAACAACGAATAATCGCCCTCTTATCGGCCGATAACAGTTTTTGGATAAGTGCCACTGTTGACTGTAATTTCAGATAATAATAAATACTCATTAATAAATATATAACCAACTGATGTATGTATTATTGAAGAACTCATTTTCATTCAGGTAGGTATCTAATGAATTGCTTACAGCAGTCTCTGAAAAGTATGTAAATATTTATAACTATATAATTTTCAATTTGGTTCATTTACGTCACTGGAACTCACGTAGACGAGACGTTTTTGATGGATCATGAAAGGATCGAGCATATTTCCACTTAAGCAAAAATAAGTAGGTATTCATTTCTTTTAATTCCACCCTTTGAACAAACCTAAATAACGTGATGCAATAATTATTAATGCTATTCTTTAATCATCATCAATTTAATTAGCCAATTAGCTGATTCTGGGGTTCCTCACCGGTGCGAGTCCCTCGCGCCCACTCCGTGCGTCGGCGCGTCTCTTGGTTTAATTGTATACTCGCTTGTTGTGTATTTAGGGTGAGATTGTCGCCGTATTTATTGTACTCCGCGCGTCCACCTGCCCCGCGAGCTAGAGACAGCCTACACGGTACACCTGTACACCTGCGGCCCGCCCCGCGCCCCCAGGGTTACTTATTTGTCACTATTCACTATTTATGTGACGTCTGATTTCGCGATCTTGGGTTTTACGTTTATTACTTATAAAATTACTACTAGTACCTACTGTATGTAACTACAGTCTGATTTTTAATTCGACGGAATTCTGACATTTCAGAGAGTGTTGTCAGCTTTGAAATATTGTCACTAAAAACCGAAAGTATTTTAGCAAAATAAAAAACATAAAAATAAAAAACCTGTCTTGAATTTAACGTTTCAATTAGAAAAACTAAGACTTAAAAAATTATTGATAACTCTAAAATGGTAATTATTTTTTTATTATCATATTATTAAAGTTACAATAATTATAACGTAAATTATTTTTCTATTACAGGAATCCCTGTTCAATTAGGTATACATAGGTTGCAAGTAGTCTTTTTTAGGAAAACCCTTTGTTTGTAAAATCTTTGCAATTGGAAAAAAATGGAAAGTCCCAAAAAGACAGGTCCACAACTATCGTTCACGATTTTTTATTATTATTTTAGGCAAAAATGCATAAACCATAATATTAAAGAAGAGGATAAACTGTGCCCTTTTAATGATCTGATGGATAGTGGGTGTGATTCTTTTATAATCCGAGTGGATGATGATGAGGACGATGATGATATAAGTAATAATAATTACATGATACTCTGTTTTTTTTCATTTAAGCATTAAACATTTACATTATAGTTAGTGTGCATTGAATGCACAAAACAAAGATTATTTACAATGTCATACATATAATTAATTTATCTTATTTGTTTCATATTTTTTTGTTATTTTATATTAAAAAAATACAAAGCAGAAAAGGTTTATGATATCTGAATTGTCAAAGAATGACAGCTGTCATATTTCCGTGGAATTAAAAATCAGACTTTACGATATTAATATTGAAGTCCTACTATTGAAATTATCATAAGGAAATTAGTTACACATCAAGTTTTATACTTTCTCTTCACAACGATTTTATATTCGTTATATTTTCCACTTTGAACGGAATAAAAACAATGTCATTCTCTAATATTTATCAAATGTTTTTTCCAATTTTTGAATTATTTTATAATTAAAAAAATGGAAAAACAGTATATTATGTGATTCCTGTAACATTCCGGTACGAAGTCACAGAACTTTGGTAAATAGCGTTCAGATTTGTGAATGTTAGTTTTACTTTAGTAGCGATACGCGTAACGACTTAAGACAGGACGGGCTGTGTAGTATTCTAATATGTATTATACTATAAAGGTTATGGCTGCAATTAAAAATAGGTCATCATAATTTTCTTTTTATCCTGTGGAATATTAGTCTTGCATAAAGTCACAAATACAAGTAACGAGGAACTCACATGAAAAAAGCAGCATTTTGGTTGTAGATAATTAAGCCTGGGGAATAATAAAAAAATCAATAGTAGATAAGAGAAAAACACAAAGTTTAGAAACTCCATCGAGTGCCATGCAGTGGCAGATCGTAATAGGCTTTAAGGGGCTAGGGATATTTTCCTTGCACGTGAAAACGTGTAAGTGTAGATTGTGTTAAGAGCATGGTGTGTCGAAGTAGCGGAGGGCCGCGTGGCGTGTCCGAGTGTCGCGTCCATTCGGCGGCGGTCGGCGACCCCGCGCCTGCGCCTGCCCGATAACTTTTATATATTTATAACATGTTGGACGTCGTATTCCTTACACTGTCACTAACTGGAGCTATATATATTAATATAGAGCATATAGGGATATCTATACATATAATAAAACTGTAGAGGTCGAATGTCTGTACGTAGAAAAAAATTGCTAAAAACCGAGTCAGGGGGATGTAAGAAGAGAAATAGAACAAATTCAGATTTATTTCAAATTTTTTGTTTCTCTGTCTGTTTGTACGGGCTAAATTCCAAAACTGTTGGACCGATTTAAATGAAATTTTTCATGGTGGTACCTTATATCCCCGGACAACATTTTAGATACTTTTCATCTCGGAAAACTAAAGAGTTCCCGTAGGATAGTTAAGTAACTTATACAACTTAGTACACAACAAATTATGCACCTAATTTAGTAAAATTTGGCATGCGGATACCTTGTATTGCCGGTCAAACAATAGGTTATTTTTTTACCCGGAAAAATGAATTGTTCCCGTGGGGTAGATCTGTTTGTGCTTTTCTAAAGGCGGTCCCGAGCGAAGTGGGGTGAGCCGCTAGTTAAATATATCTACAGGGAACTGGCTGAGATTGGATTCTTTGAATTTTCTGCTAAATAATTTCCCTTAATTTTTACTTAAATCTTCACCAATAAAGTGTTAACTTTGGTCCTTAAAACTATAAGTGACATTTATATAATTCAGTGGGAATTGTATATAACATAGCGCGCACACATATACAGGTAAAGCGTATGCACAGCGCTCGCAACGCGGTCCCGTTATAATCGACTTCAGTTCTCATGTAGAACCTGCTCTGCATTCAGCTCAATTTTGGTCAATTTCACAATCGTGCTAATTTTTATATTACTTATCATTCATGCTATTGTGAAAGAAATAAATACATTTCTTTTTTTATGTTATATTAGATATTTAAAATGGTGGTTCATTAGTTGAGCAACTATTTTGATACCTAATAATGATACATATTTCCACAAAACGACATTTTCATATAATACAACATAATCCAATCATACTCGTATCTTCATCCCCTATCCTATATTCCGGTCTAGTCTTGAATGCAAGCTACCTCTGTAAATTTTGTGTTCAGAGGTTCAGAATCATGTAAACAGATGTGACGTGTCTAGATTCTTATACATTTATTCTATCCTCATTGGGCTACAGTAAACTAAAAGCCAATTAAACACTTAGACATGAAGTGAAATTAGCTATCTTGGGCATCATGTTTTCTTACAATAATTGCAGGATGGCGCATTAGACCAGCTAGTTGCTAGGAGGCTGCACAGCGCACTGTGCACATCAACGCCACGAATGCGAAGGTCGTCCGGCGACAGTGCTCCCGCTGCCGCGCCGCTACTGTGCGAGTGCGAGTATGCGTTCCAACAAGCTCTTTGTTACTTGCTATTTGTTCACGACATTAATACTACATCGGCTTATTAATGAATTCGATGATTCATAAGATCTTATATTTCAAAACAATAAGAAGACAATTTGCTATGGTAAGTGTTATTTCCAATTTTTTTTTGGTTTCTAATAACGATATGAATATGTCAACATTCAACTGTTTTTATGGGAAAGTACTGCTCGTTATTCAATTACTCATATCGCTATCAACATCGCTTTGAAAGATTAATTTATTATTTAGATAAAATTATCTAAAAAATAAACATTTTTTGAAGTCAAAGTACATGCGCCGATCTCGAGCTTATTACCGGCCAGGCGCCGAGGGCCGTGAACATAATGTATTGGATAGTTAGTCGTCTCGACGGGAACTAATGTAATCTACAAATGACAATTTATTTCTTAGATCGCAATATAAAATTAATTCGTCAATTATTATAAATACATATTTTATTTGTTGGTTCCTGTAGAAATAGCCGCTCGAATTTGTGTCGTTTAAGGTATATTTAATAATTTATATATTTATATAGAACAATTATTTATTTTTAAGATACCATTGCAACTATGTGTTTCATAGTATTATGTTTTCTTGCTTGTCAGTTTTAATTGTAGGTATCTACAAAATAAAAAAAAACTGATTGTTTGATAGTTCTTAAAAGTTAAAAGAATATTTTATATACTATACTTGCAACCTACCCTCGCTTGGCTCGGGTGCGTCCTAAAATGTAAGTTTGCCATATTACATTTTATTGCTTTATTTCAAACCGTTTAGGCAGCGTACGCCGATAAAGAACTTAACGGCCAGTTTTTTCCCCACTTCAATTAAACTTATTAGGATTTCTCACAGTAAACACATTTTTATCAGAATTAAAAAAATAGTCTATCGTATTCGTATAGTCGTATTACTATTGTAGTTTTCTGTTAATGAAAGAATTTTTAGAATTGAATCATAAGTTTCAGAGGTTCCTACTTATTCCCTACATGGAAACTAACTTAACCTTTTCTTTCTTTCAGCATAATATTGGTGTAGATTGCACAATTCGCGATTATGTCATTTTGAAAAATATCTATATATGAATAGTAATTTCTGGCTTGTTTCAAAACGACTTTACTTAGCACTCAATATAATATACAAAGATTTACAAAATTCCAATAATGATAGTAAAAATTAACAATATCACAGCGAATACAACATATTTTGATTAAAAATAAACAACAATAGGTTGCTCTATGGAGTAATAAATGCAAAAACAAACCTACGGTAAAGTAAAGCGAGCTAATTTGTTAACAATGTCGGAATGCTAAGTCAGGTCGAAGTTCACAGCGCGTTGTAGTGCTACCATTTGCCTGTTGCGTGCGACGCGGACACACCACTGTCCCACACCACACAACCACCACATGACCGTACTACACCACCACACCGCAGCAGAGTAATAATTACTAATGTTTATTAATTACATACTTAGCAAACTTAATATTCTACTTACTGTACATAATAGAACAATATCTTATAACTCTAAATAATTTTCTCTGTTAGTTTTTCCCTGTGGCTTAATTGGTGTGGCATGACCCCAGTAGCGTTACAAGGCATCGTGAGGAAGCGAGCCGATGGATTTGTCTTTTATTCAATAGGTGCAGCGCATTAATAAAAAATATATATAAGTTTGATAATAAAAAAAAACGTTTTCCACGTTTATAATGTTTATTTTGTATAAACTCAACCGCTACTGTTTATGACCGTTGATTGTAGATCGTGGTATTTGAGTATTAAACCTGGAAGCCTAGTTGGTTTCTCATTCATTCATCATTTTACTCATTTAATAAATTCCGGGGGCATTTTCATTGAAAATGTAAGAATTATTGTTATTGAACAACGTTATCGCTAAAACGTTTTAGTAAAAAATTATAAATGTATTGAATTTAAATTGAATGAGAATTATCTACTACAGAAGATAATAAATTCTCAGATAACATTTCAGGTTTTTTAAACTAGTTAATATCAGTTTTTCAATTATTATAAAAATTGGACCTATTAGTTTTATGTTATACAATTATATGTAAATATATACTTTTACTATGTGACCATCCTTCCGCTCTTATCTCCGCGACATATAATTAACGCTACTTTTTAAGTATCATCATAATTTTGAAATAAAAAGTTTCATCAATATTGGTCTAGTAATGTCTGTGAACGCGCAACCAAGCGCTATGACGCGCATCAGTTCACAGCTCGCGTCGAAGCGGCAACGCTTCATTTAATTAGTTTATTCACATTTTGCAAGATGAGCTGTAATGTAAAAGTTTACACACATTGCGTTTGTCTGGAAATTAAACACAGAGTTCCTTCTTTAGTCAATTATATTTTTAATGAATGCATATATTTGTAGTTGTGTAAATTTCAGATTTTAAAAATTTGTCTTGCTATTTATACTTATATGTATACTTAACATCTATTGTTCCTTTAATCAGAAGCTCTTAGAACTCTTAGAAAATCCATAAAGTTATCAAATCCAAAACTTATGAAAAGTCCAGAGTTTGATTTCAGAGTTTAAAAGTAGGTGTTTCTATACTCTCGTAGCGGAGACCAGCAAAGCCGTTTCACCGACTCTTAAAGTGAAGGAAGTGAACACGTACTTGTACTTTGAGTGTTCCTCTGATATACCTAATAAATATAAGTTTCATTTTTATGAAATGCAAATTATTATAGGTTTAGCTCATGCTGCACCTATAACATTAGCTGCAACAATAGCACAGATTCGTGTGAGTAGTACGTAGACTGCAGAGTGAGGTCTCGTAAACCGGTATATCCTTCGCACAGTAGTTTTTACGTCGCCTGTATTTGTGCTTCGTCATTATTGTATAATGAATGATTGAAATACTTTACATACTTAATTTATTGAATAATTTGTGTATCAACCAAGGTTTACTTCAAAATATAAGCTTTTCTAATTAATAAAGGTGTAGATTGATACTTTGGCAAAGATAGATGTAAATCAGGTTTTATAATTTTTAAAATATAGGCAGTTTAGATTCTTGGACCACCCACGTCGCCGTTGACATGGCACATTACGAGCTTCTATTTTGATTACATAGATGTCTAGCAAGGATACTTTGGTGCATTAAATATTTTTGTAAATTGGCATAGATATGTTACATTTTACTATATTGAATTAGGTTTAATACTGGCTCGATTTATTTAGGTTATGAACCGCCGTCATCAGTGGCGTAACTAGCCCCTTTGGGTCCCAATGCAAAAAACAACGGAAGTGCCCCCCTTTGGCTATTTTGAAACTAATGTGGCCCATAGACTTCCTGTAAGTTTTCCAAATTTTCACTTTTTACAAACCGCTCTCACGGAAGAACGGGTTCAGTAAAATTTTGTAAAAAATCTGAGCTTAGAGGAGATAAAACATAGGTAAAAATAATATGCGGAAATTTAGGAATATTTTTTCTTGCGGTTTTTTTCAAACTTCTATGAGGGCCGTCCTCGAAAAAATATTATGAAATAAAACAATAGTTTGAGGTCCGCATGCGGTTGCATTGGCATAGCTACGTCACTGGCCGTCATCATCTATAAAAATATTATACAATGATATCTGTGGAAAATGGCAGTAGTTAGGTACAAGACAGTATAGCACAAGGCTATTGTATTTAACAATGTTTTTATATATTTGAGGTTACTATATATTCATTAATTAAGTATAGTCTATGTGCTACTCTGATATATAATATACTCACTCACGCACACACATATATACACACCACACACATATATACACCACACACTCACGCACACACAGACACATACACACTCTCAAGCACACTTATGCACGCTAATTTTTATTACTATATTTTGAAAGACTATTATATTGTACAATTGAACAATTGAATTAAGGATTAAATCTGTACGTTTTGTTATGAAAGGGTGGGGTCTCCTAATACAGACAAAAATTACTTGCTTAAAAGGGGACCTTAACCACAAACTTTGTCAACACTATAATCTCTTTATGCAAATAAAATATTTATTTTTTGTTATTTATTATAAGTGAATTATGTTACTATAAAATTTTATCAAAATCGGTTTAGTGTTTTCAGTATTTTTGAGTGAAAGAGTAATGAACGTACATATGCACAAAGTTTTGCGGTTATAATATTAGGATGTATGTTGTAGTTTGTGTACAGCCTACACTCAGGTAACAGGTTGCAGCGCGCGTCGCCCGCGGCCTCGCCCACGCCGCACCGCGCCGCGCTACCAAGTTACGCGAGCTGCCACACTGCGCTTGCCTCAAACATTTTTTCCAGTTATTTTATTCTTAGCGAATAAGTTGTTTTTTTTATGAGAAAACTGTTATAAACAATGAATTGAAAGAGATGGAATGATCTAATAATAAAGCGACAATTGTTATTTTTTATATTTCATTTGTTTTTTTTTATTAAACACTACCTATTTCGTTTACTATATAAATGATTATACTTATTATATTTACGTTGTTAGAACATTTTATTATGTCTAATTAAATCAATATGTTTGTTTGTGTGTTTGTTTGTTTGTCTTTCTTTGACGTCGAAACAGAGTGATGGATTAATGTAATTTTATTGCGGGAGATAATCTCATTCCCACGGGAAAACACGTTTTAATACAACCCAAAAATTATTTATGATCAGAATTACTTGAAACTTGGTATTAATGCTCTTCAATATAATTAAATAAAAACGTGTTTTAGCATTTTTCGAAATTCATCCCATAAGAGGGTAAAGTAGAGTATGAAAGTTTGTAAGAAACCTGCTTTTTTAGTTTTTCTGTTTAGTTTAGTTTTAGCGCGAGCGAATACGCGGGTTCTGCTAGTTATCCATAAAATAATCTATACATGTAATAAAATTCTCAGTCGAATCTGTACATTAAATATTTTTTGGAAAGTCTTATTGATATAGTCATTATTATCGATGTAGAGGCCGAATCTATAGTTTATAGAATTTTTGTCTGTCTGTCTGAGAACGCATCACCAGAAAATCACTGGACAGATTTTGATGAAACTTGTTACGATGATAGCAGGTTGGCTATCCGGGTGAATATATAGGATAGTTTTTACTGCGGGAAAATATCTCATCTCTGAGAAATCTATACTATCCGGTCGAACCCGAGCGGAGCGAGGGTGAGTCGCTAGTATCTATATTTATATAAGCCTAACCAAACAGCACATTTCCGATGGCTCTGGAGTCTAGCGTAGGTACAGGATCCGGACGCCACATTAGCTGCTGTGATGCGAGAAACAGATGAGTGGACAAAAGCGACGGCGACACAAGGACGCTACCTACTGCTCAGCCCGCACCGGACTCTTACACATTTACTATACCTAACTACTTACTATTCACAACTAGATTGAAATAAGAAATATTTAAAAATATTGGCATTTTAACTTATTATTTTAGGTTAAGTGAATTTGTATGGAAAATATACGAATATTATAATAAGGCTGAAGTTCGATTGTTTTTATGCTTGTTTGAAGTTCTATAATGAAGAATAAACTATACTTAAATTAAATAATTTCGTTTTATTTACTAACGTCTTCATGCGATTTATTAGGTCTTATAATATTGCGTATTAAGTTGTCATTCCTCAATTTAAATATTTTTAGTTTGAACTTTGATTTATCGTTTTACATAAGCATTTGAAATTCAATTCTTTATTTCATGGGTAGTAAGTATTGTTGACATCGAATGTGAAACGAAAATGGTTTTAAAGGTATAGTACTTGACATATTTTCATTACCAAATAATTTCAAATATCGTGCCTTCTAGTCATTAGCAGCCCAATAGGTAATATTGTGTTTAGAAATGTGACTACTGTAAAAATGCTAATAATAAATGTTATAACATAGTGGAGAATCACAGTGTGCGTCTACTACAGAATTACATTCTCTCTGTCTGTATAATACCAATAAATTTATTAAAATTGGTCAAAAATATATTGATTCGGAATTGAACCTGTAACTATTGACGCAGTAAGCATGCTGCGGTTTGCTTGAAATATGTACCTTTGAAGTAGGTAGTTAATTTTAATCAAATTACAAAACACTTGCTTTCAAATTAGCAACAACAGGAATAAGAACCCATATATACATATAAGGAAAACAACACATCCTGCAGGACATCGATTAGTAATAAAATGACCTTGTAGGCGATCGGGCTCGGGCGTCATATAAACTCATTCGAAGACTTGGCTATTTAGAGACATTACTATTCACGCCGTTAACCTTTAAGCAATTCTATTGAATTCGTAATACATATTAGTTGTTGAATCAGTAATGTGTGCGGTTGGGAGCGAGCGATCGGTAAAAGTGTTTAATTGTTACACGTTTTCTATTTCGAATTCCAACCGGTCGAGAGCTTGAGAGCGCCGACGAAACCGACTCGCCTGCTCAGTGTCCAGTACACGCGGTAATAGCGCTCTTAGTTAATTGTTTTTACTTTCAATTATAATAGCTTATGTTCGAGTTGCTTTGTGAATCAATTAGCAATAAATGAAGAAACAGTGTATAAGTTAAACTTATAGGAAATAAATGATAAGTACCTACATATATCGGAGTTAACGAACGTCACCAGTTATTTTTCCTAGTATTAGCAATTATTATTCATGGTTCATCCTTGAACCCTTCAATTTAGTACAGGAAGTTCATATTTTGGCACCTCGTCGTAAATCTTAAAACGTTATACGTTAAAATATTCTTATATTACATAAATTTAATTTAAAAAATGTAAGTATGGTTAATACCGTATAAAACATGAACGACATCGCTATCGCAAGATAGTTTTGATTGTAATGGAGGATGTGACTTTGACCTCATTGACGAATATAAACAATTTCGATATGCGCTTGTGGTCAAGTCCCGGGGCGAGGCGACGGGGGAAGGGGGGAGTTCAAACGATAATACATAAGAATAAATATGTAGTTTTATATACATATAATATACGTTATACATATACTAATTAAACAAAAGTAACAAAAACATATATTACAAATAAATATTAAAAAAAATTATCTAATTTCTCAGTTTATTCAACCACAATTATGCAACTTACTCCCACTTATTATGATACGTTACTCTACTCTCTTTGATAGAGCGCGGGTCTAAATATGTGTTCTCGCACTCTGATTTACGAAATAATGAAACGAAAAGTTTGAAACTTTGGAACTTTGATATGCCTTTAGGTGTATTACTGTATTTTATATCTGTTTGCATCACGATTCTACAGTAACTGACCCTTTTGTGAAAGTGATATAGCAATTATTTCATCTGACCGTCAGATTGGAACACATTTACATGAACAATAATTATCTAGAAATACTTCTTCGTTTTATTTTATTATCTTAGTAATCAAAAGGTCATAAATGGATACTTCAAACAGTTATAAAACAAAGAATAAATAAATAAACCTGCATATTCAAATAAGAAATTGAAATCAGAAGTCAGAATTATATTGATTAATCCAAATATAGCCGATGTACAGTACAAAGTTAAATAAATTATTCAATAAACTGAAGTTAACAATTTTAGTATTTCAATAAAATATCAGTTTTTTAACATGAGTACTATATGTGTATATCTTAGATTATTTATATAAATAATATATCAATGAGTCAGCCAAGTCGCATCGGCGAGGTAAAGTCGCCGCTCCACCGCGCTCGGGCGCGAGGTGACCGCGCCGCGCGCTGACCGAGGAGTAAGGACCTTAATACCCATACACGTGAACATAATAAGCTTCTCTACTGCATTTTAATTCACGTCGCACAATACAACATGTCAGTTAATTGAATATCAATTTGAAAACAATATATCGTGTGCTGTTTACTGCCGCGACTATTCGTCGGCAATAATAGAGTATTATTTAGTTGTACAAACTTTGATGGAGCTCCTAGTTGATAAGTTCTTTTCGATCCGTATTAAGACAAAGTTTTATTTTTAGAACTCTCTTGTTGGCGTTTCATCTAATTGTCTTAGAAGCTATTAATTATTAATATAATAATTAATATTAATGAAAACCTTTTTTAATAAAATACCACATTGCACTGAACTTTTTTTGACGTAATTCGGAATATCTTACTATTTACATATACTTTAAAACGACTTCATTCTTACACAAAACGACATTCAAGAGGATGGTAGCTAACGATTTAACAAATAAACATTTTAATGAGGTACAGTCATCGGAAATCTTTTAAATAGAAATGTTAATTGACGTCTTTACCTAGAACTGGAATGATAACACCTTGGAGGTTGTATTTGAATTAATAAAATGCTTGTATGCATGGCCAGGAACTGTTGTACTTCTGCTGAAGGTTGCCAGTTCGATTCCGGTGTGTGGCGAATTGTTATTATATCGTAATAGTGTTTATATGCTAAATACCAGCGAGGTGCTTTAGTTTTTTCCATGTTCTAATTATATTTTTAATATTTGTCCAAAATGCTGAACGAATGAATCATTTTTATCTTGAAACAAAGTTTTGTTCAGAACATATCATTTTCCATATATTTGACGCTATTCCTCATTCTTTTAAAGATTGAATTTAAAAAAGATTCATTTTATTATAAGGATTAGCATTTTAATATAGAATATTAGGTACCTACATTGTGAAATATTATAAATATCTAGGATCTGTGACTTCGTGTGGGCGTTTATGAATCAGTCAGACCGGATATGTTCCTCATATACAAACTCTACCTTACGTATACTGGTTGTTGTGTTTAAGAAAAACCTATAAAATTCGAGATGTGCAAATGTTATGCCAGCAACGCTGTTATTTTTAAGAATACTATAAAATTCTTAAAATACTATCGACTTGTATAAGGTACATAGGAAGGCTTACAACTTTACAGTCGTTATGGCAAAAAATAAAATGGTCGACTGGTAATTGCTAAAAACTTGATAGTTTGTAATAGCTATGAGCCCAATAATAATATTATTTAGTTTTACTTTGAGATTCAAGTTTAGTGATCAGATCAGAGTAACAAGATCTAGTGCAGGCAGAACACATGTACATATATGAAAGATATTGTGGATACAAGTCCCATTTAGGGCATATATTTATATAGGCATTTATTGCACTCTGGTGTGCCAGTATGTTTTTATCGGACTACCGCGTCGGCGCAAGCGACATTGTATTCATTATTATCGATGAACTTGTAGTAAAAAAGGTAGGTAAATCATTAAATTATTAGGTGTATCTTGCAATTGTAAAGCAATTAAATACTATCTCCCGTTTGTAGCTTTCCTCGCGTTCGTATATTCATTTAGTCCATTAAAACTAACACTACAAACTGAGCCAAACGTGTTGTCATTCGTCATTGTTTGTCGTCATTTTTTCATAAAATTATTTTTAAGCATCTTTAATTATTCAAGTGTATACTCATATGCGCGTCATTCCTGCAAACGGATATGAATCTCTGTCCCGTATCACCAAGGGTAGCCGACCACTGCGCCAGCGCCGCCTCACAATGAAGACGTGTTAATTCGGACGGTTCCGCATACCTGCTCGCTACAAAGTGGCACAGTTAAAACTCGCCTGGCTATAATTAGATGGTAGTAGCAAGTTGGTGTGAACCAATACTTATGTAAGACTATGCATTTATCTGTTTAGATACAGATTTTGGTATTGTAAATTATTTATTAATTTGTATACCTTGTCTCCCCACTTTATAGATTTTTCACAAAATTTTGTAATATATGAAATGAGTCGCAAATATATTCAATAATATCAGAGCTATCGGTTAAAGATATGATATATCTTATACAAACCGACCACGTGCTAAGAATACGTAGTTCCAAAAATATTTATAATTCAACCTTTCTCCAGTAATGTGCGTTTAAAAAGGATTACTATTATAAACTAGCGGCTCACCCTCGCTTCGCTCGGTTTCGCCTCTAGGAAAACAAATACAAACCTATCCCATGGGATTTGGGAACTGTACATTTTTCCGTGATAAAAAGATGTTTCAATACAACACTGTTGTTTCAAGTCACAACCTAATGTTTATCTACTTGGCACGCAGAAAATTAATAAACATTACTCACTAATGGAGTATTTACATATTTTTATTTATTCATATTTATTTTAAAACAAATGTCATTAAGTATCAATTTTTGATCATTTAAAAAAAGCCGACTGCCTAAAAAGTGAACTAAAATGATGAGAACAAGTTGACGAAGGAACATAGTATTATGTAGTAGTATTAAATATCAAAATCAGTTGCACCGTTTAATAATTACGGGGGAACAAAATATACATACATACAGGTCAAACACATAACCCTTTTTTTGCTGCGCTACTTGTCAAGTGAGCGGCTGTGGCTTGCTGGGATCATCTCATATTTATTTCATTTGTTTATTTTATTTAATTCGTAGTAACAAAAATGGATACAAATATACTCCTTAATCTAACAACAATTACTGTTTAACAAAACCTCATATAAGTTAAAAAAATCTCATATAAGTAGAAACTGCGTATCGCCTCGTCTCCTGCTCTATAAAGCGCGGTATTTGCATACTGACAAGGATTAACACCGTGTTTGTGGGCAATACACATTGAGAAACACTCTACCGTTGTGGTTTTATTTTTCAACCGACTTCAAAAAGGAGGAGGTTCTCAATTCGACATTTTTTTTATGTTTGTTACTTCAGAACTTCGTCATTTATTAACCGATTTGGACAATTTTTATTTTGTTTGAAAGGGTATACTTCCAGCTTGGTCCCATTTAAATTATTTAAATTTCAAAAAAAAATACCACTCCTAAGAGTGGAAAAATAGCTAATAATGAATTTAACCTACTTGTAATTGTCATATTGACTTGAAACTTTGCAAGTGTTTCTATTTCCGTTGATAGTACAGTGGTTCGGTATTGTTGACCTGATCTGATGGTAAGGCCAGAAGGTGGATAGGTGGAACTCTTCAACATCTAATAGTAGATACTTTGAGTTTGGGCTTATTTTGTTTGATTTGACAAGCCTAACACGTTAGAATTCTTACTTTGCTACTACTGTCTACACTATAAAGGGAATAATAAAAATTTTTAACAAAAAAATAAAAACCGACTTCAAACAAAAGCACTAAAAAGTAAAAAATAACTGATTGGTAGTTTTCATTTACTATACATACCTAATCAAATATTTTCGAAGTCGGTGTGCTTTGGCTAAGTAATTAAAGCCTACCTATTAAATACATACCTAATCGAATATTTTCGAAATCGTTGCCAGCCCATACGAAGCAAAGCACACCGACTTCGAAAATATTTGATTAGGTATGTATAGTAAATGAAAACTACGAATCAGTTATTTTTTACTTTTTAGTGCTTTTGTTTGAAGTCGGTTTTTATTTTTTTGTTAAAAAGTTTTTTTTAATTTTGAAATTAATTTAATAACAGAGTTCCGCCCGTACTGGAGAAGCTATAACAAATTTTGATTATTAGTTATTAGACGCTTAATTGCACATACAAATTAACTAACATATTAAAAAGGAGTTAGTGCTATTATAAACCTCTCTATGAGCCAAGCTAGAACTATAAACAAAGTTTTATTGCCTAGGAAGATTATATTTGAAATATTGTAAATATTATCTTACTAGGCAAGATTCAAAGAATATTTTTTATTACAATACACTAACCACCACGCACTCATCCCGCAGTACGGTCATGTAAGATGTTATTTGTTTCGTACTAAGCATGTAATATGCCACCTATCACATCTTATAATTGGATAACGTCTCGATGGAGTGGAGTGAGTTGTATGTCCGATCCGCAAGGGATTTCTGTAGTCCGCATTAAAACATATATGTTGGTCAATGGTCATGGGGAGAAGAAACACTTATGAACAACCAGTCTAACTGCTCTTTGTCTTTCCTAGGATCTTTAATGTGCATAGATTTAAAAAAATATATTTAATTATCATCATTTTATTTGGAAAAACCCTGCGGACTAAAACTAGTTTTGTAATTGGAGTCCACAACCAACACAATACTTCAGCTAAGTTGTATTAAAAAATATCCAAAGTAATGTAATCTTTAGGTCGTAAGTTATAGTTGCCATCTCGCTACCAGTACACTATATTAATATTGGAATGGTGGCGAGATGGTTATCTTGTAAAGTTTATTTCGTTGAGCAATAGCTCGTTAACTGCTCCTCCGTACAATGGTATCTACGTAACTTGACGCGATGTCTTGTATTGAGAAAATATAAACACTATCTATATTAAAAAATACTGAAACATTTATTCAAAGTCAAAGGTATTTTTGACAAGTCAAATAGCCTGGCTTTACTCGAGTGCGTCTCAGGGTGCCTCTTTTAACGTTGAGAAATACATTTAGGCATACCACCTACATATAGGTGTCATACAGATTGTTAATGTACAATACTTCAGGTATATTTGAAGGTATAGTATATCCAAATTCGTCCAGCCATTTCCTCGTAAAGGAGTAATGAACATACACACCAACATACATAAAACTCTCGTATTTACTACAGTAACCTATAGTCCATTTAGCTATAATTTATGCAAAATATTTTTCTATATATATATATATATATATATATATATATATATATATAAGACTATAAGTCGGGATTTTAAGAATCGGCAAAAATTAAACTTATGTGTTGCTCTGAAATACAAAGATTTATTGTAAGCGTAAGTTTACAACGAGAAACAACCTATTATATACTATAAATAAATGTTGAAACACAAATTACTATCTTACCTGAAATACAAAGAAACGACATTAAAAGTTATTGCCAGGTTTTGTCGAATCCTTTTTACAAATAAAATTATTAATTTTTACAATTTCACATTTAAAAATGTTTTACACTATGACACTCATCTGTCTGACAGCGCCTCAATTCAAATTTAATATAAAGAATTTAGAATAGTAACATATTAAAGAGATCTTATTTCTTTACATCTCCCCCCCTAGGCCAGAAAATTTCCTCAGAAATTTTCGCTAAATTATAATTTCATATTAGGAGTTACATATCGAATTTCTTCTTATGTCGGAACAGGAATGAGTTTCGTAATGTGGAAGAGATTCGACTCCAATTTCTTATGACCTGTATTAATTTTGTATATTAAATGTGATATTTTTTTTTCAATTTTAAAAGGACCAATCCTCAGCTCGTCTAATTTTTTCCTATTTAGTTTATGCCCATTTTCAATGTATACCATATCACCTGTATTAAAATTATGATGTGTTCTATTTTTATCAACTATCATTTTGTTATATTCATGTGACTTAATGGATTTTTCAAACGCTATCTTCCTATTTTTAATCCATTCATCTGCTTCTTTTTTAAGTTTTAGTTCATTTGGTATAAATGACACATCTGTACCATCCATCAGATATCTTGGTGCGAAGCCAGTGGTTGTATGTTCAGTGTCATTATATCTATCCACGCAGTTATGGGCAATAGTTGTCCATGCTGTTGTATTTGGTTTCTCATTTATTTTGCATCTAATTTTATTTATAAGTGTTTGGTTCAGTCTTTCGTTTAGACCATTTGAAAATGGCGAATTTACTGCAGTGAAAACTAGCGTAATTGATTTTTCATTTAAAAAGTCTTTAAATTCTTTTGAGTTTATTCCTGGATATTGGTCAGTGAGAATCATGCCAATTTCATTACAATTTGTTACATTATTTATTAGTTTTATAAAGTCCTTTGCACTTTGTGTCTTCGAAGTTATTATGTATGCATATCGGGTGAAATGATCCACTAAAAGGTGTAGATATCTTTTTGTTGATCGAGAGCCTCCAAAACCTCCAATCGTATCTATTGAAACAATTTCTAATGGTTTCGAAGCGGGACCTAAGTGTGACATTAAACCATACTTAACTTGTCCTCTTGTCTTATTCTTTATACATATTTCACACTTTTTGCAAAGGTCATTAATGTTTCTTGTTAAATTCTTTGCTGTATAAAATTTTCCTATTTTATTTTGCATTTGTTTTATACCTATGTGACACATGTTTTCATGTATTTGCTTTATAAGTTTTATACTGAATTCTTCTGTCAGTATGATTTTTTCCTGTTTTTTTACTCTCTTATAATAAATTTTGTGTCTATGTATTAAATTATTCTTATATTTTTGTATATCCTCATTTTTTTCTTGATCTGTTACTATGTCATCCAGTGTTATTAAATAATTTTAAGAATCGGCAAAAATTAAACTTATGTGTTGCTCTGAAATACAAAGATTTATTGTAAGCGTAAGTTTACAACGAGAAACAACCTATTATATACTATAAATAAATGTTGAAACACAAATTACTATCTTACCTGAAATACAAAGAAACGACATTAAAAGTTATTGCCAGGTTTTGTCGAATCCTTTTTACAAATAAAATTATTAATTTTTACAATTTCACATTTAAAAATGTTTTACACTATGACACTCATCTGTCTGACAGCGCCTCAATTCAAATTTAATATAAAGAATTTAGAATAGTAACATATTAAAGAGATCTTATTTCTTTATATCTATATACATATATTATATTAATTTATGTCAAAAAGGTTTCGACTAAAAGAGTATTGTATCAGTCACGTCACATGTGCTCTATAAGGGACTCTATTACATTTTTTGAAATGTTTCTTAACTGTTTTTAAAAATGTTACTCTTACTACCGTTATGTTTCAAAAATGTTATCTAACTTATAGTATATAATTGTTAAAAACAGCTACACACTATAAGTACATTGATAGAGTTTTTGATATTAATTGATTTCAATTGAAGTTATTAAATTTTTGATACTAAATCCAATTTTATCGAAAAAAATAGCCTACAGCACTCGGCAGTAACGTAGCTTCCTATTAGTCAAAAGAATTTTTAATATAACTGTTTGTTTACGCGGCGCAGGCCAGTTAAACTCCCGGTCGGTTTTTTTCGACATTTTCAACAAGCGTCGTCATATTTCAGTGAATTTACACAAAATAATAATGGATTATACAGCCTTCCTCATGAATCACTCCGTCCAGTGGTGAAATGGTTTGGTACATTTTAACTTTATCGCTTTCAATTATAGATAATAAGACTTTAATATGTAGTGATGTATAAAATTGTCTCTTAGATTTCCTTTGATGTTAAAATATAAATCTTTACTATATTATTCTGTTGAGAACTTTTGAAATATAACGAATCGATGGCATCTCTAAAAATGTTAATATGTCCGCGGTCTTGATCTCGCGTTGTTTTTTGCCGCTCGCTCGGAGACAAGTGGAATTACAGTTACAGATGCGATTGCCTTAAGTGGACTCTGCTAGTTATTGAGGCCATATTATATGAAAATGTAGTCCCTTGAAATTATCGAAGATAATTTAAATTATCAATTATATCAATTTTAATTATAATTATTTCTTTTACCTTGACAAAAACATTAAAAAAATCTGATGTCACATATTTAACGTTTGAAGGAACAGAAGTGCATGGAGCAGCCACAATTAGTGTGTTGGTTTTTGAAGAAACAGGATTATTTTTTGTAGGTTTTGAAAAATAATTCTGGCCAGAGCGTGATCTTATTAAAAACTTTTGTAATATAAAGAAAGTGAATATTTCTGCAAAATGGATTGAGAACATACAATTAATTTAATTAGTGATTATTGTGGCATATCTTGAAAAATTACAGTTATTAAATCATTTAAAAAAAATATTAATATCTATGCGGAAACTAATATATGCGGAATTTGCTAAAAGCCTGAAGATATTGAGTTCATAGAACGATCATTGACGCTAAGCCAGAATCAAACCCAAAGCCACGAGTCAAGCTAGCGATGAATAAAAACGATTTATGTGTCCGTGTATCCGTGAGTATGTTTTAGTTTTCTTTGAACGTCATTAACTTATTGGAGATACAGTTTTAAAACACGTTTAACGCAGAAAGATATTTATCATGAAAGATTAAGATATTAACTGCAATAATGATTAATGCACCAAGTGCTACATGCGAGGTGCGTGTACCGTAGGTTATATTAAAAAATATAAATTGTCTGTCCGTACATATTTTTTTTTTATACCGATATCATGTTAACCGATGGAATTTGTTTAATTAAGATGCAATTTTTGATAGTTAACTGTATGGCAAGGTGTTACAGCGACTGAGTTTACTACTTTGAGTTAATTTCTATAAGAGATAAATTGCTGAAACTAAAGATAAGTTTTAAACTGTAATTTTACAGATATTGGAGACGTTCTATCGAAGCGAGAACAACTGACAAGTGATTACTTGGATTATAAATAGTTACAATAATTTCATCGACACGATTTGTATTGATCATAGGAATTATAGTCAAAGTAGGAAGTGTGAGGTAGTATTATTATTATTGGGTGGTTGAGCTGTCGGTCTGTCGGACTGTCGGTGGATGTAGGCATGTCGGGTGTCGGAGTGTCGGCGTCTCGGCTGTCGGAAGTACGCGCCGCAGCGGCTAACTGTACCGCGGCGAGGCAGCATCCAGCGGCGCAACCCAATTACATTTAAAATTTAAACTCATGAAGTATTTAAGATAAATATTACGTAACTAATAGATAGTAACAAGATATTACGAGTAGATAAGGTAATAGTTAAAAATACTGTAAGGCACTTTGGTGCCATTTTTCAATTTTTTGAATCCACTTTGTAATTTGTGGGTAGGCAGGTCTGTAACAGCTATATACTAACTAAATACAACTATACCTTTGAGACATCTAACACCTCAGTCTCTCCCGTGACCATGATTGCTGCAAAGCATTCGAAACGTCGGGAACCAAAAATCCAAATAAATCCGCGATGATAGTTTTATTTAAAATAACATAAAACTAGAAACAAGACGTCGCGTCGAAACAATCAAAGCAATTCTATATATGTATATATCTATTTTCACTAACGGACGACATATTATCACGTTATAGGTATATTTGTATGTTTGAGTGAATTGTGTAATGGATATAAATTACATCACATCGTTAGCAACAATACCTTTCGGAGTTAATTCAGTGTTGGCGTGCAGCGGCGTCTCAGAGGAGCGCGCACACGGCGGCGGCGGCGGCGCGGCGGCGGCATTGGTGGTGGCGGCGGTGGTGACGCGGTCCGTTTATATGGATGCTAGAATTATGCTACATTCAGTTTAACTATGTACTGACAATTATTTCTAAATACCTATCTTTAAATAACACTTAGATATGGGTTAATCCTTGAAATGATTACTTTAAATTGAATATTGGTTACTTTCTTAGATTAACGCGAATATGCGACATTTTAAATAAAAATATCTTTTCGGTATTTTTCGCAGATTTATTTAATCTATCCCGTAACCATAATTGCAAAAAACTGTAAAAAGCATTCGAAACGTCGGAAATCAAAAATCATGAATCAAAAATCGTATTCCACTGGCCTCAGATCATTATAAGGATGAAATTCTGGAAAGAAATCATATCTCAAATTTTTAGAATCTGAAGGATCAGGGTTTTAATAATAATCGTAAAACAAAGACAATTCATATCTGAAAACAACGATACCATTCTTTAAAAGAAAAAAAATCTTCGGCACCATAATATTATGAATAGACTCGGTTTCATTGTGACATGAAATGCCTGTGTTGATATTTAAGATAATAGTTTTAAATCGAACCTAAACCGAGCTTATCTATGTCAGTTCATTCAAATTATTAGTTAAAATAAATAATCAGTATTTTCTTCAAACTAAGGAATAGTGTCGGTTGACATTCTCATCTCCTCGCAAACAAAGCATCACGAGAAACATTAGCTAGTAGTGTGCCCCACTGTCCGGCGCGCAGCCCGCTGTCGTGCGCGGGCGACGCGTTACCTACGACCATCTGACTCATTTATTGTTTCATTATTTTGCCAGTATTTTATAAATGATAAAATGCAAGGATTATCCGTATCAGATGTAGAAGCAAGTAAAGCTTCCGGCGGCATACTTCCATAGGTAATAAATTAATATAAAAAAAATCATTTTTTAAAAACAAGCTTATATTTATATCATGTAAATTGTGTAATGTGTAGTGTAATAAATGATTTAATTCAAAGCATACTTATTATTTTTTAGTTATCTATTCGTATTCTTCTGAGCAAACCCTATCATTTGATATCCATATCATGGAAGTGCATAAAAACATATTCGGGAGTCCACCATAGTAGATTTAGAAAGACGCCACTTAGCTGACCATGCATTGTCATCCAAACTAAGCGTGTATGCAAAATTTCAGCCCAATCGGTTCAGGATAAATGCTTTAAAATTCAATTGCAAGATTTGCCCCGGACAAACATAGACACAAACTTTGCAAGTTAATAGGTAGTAAGTAAAAGCTGTAAAAATGAAGTGTCTGCTTATGAGTTTTAAATACTAAAAGTGGTCATTAATCAAAATTTTAATTTGGATAATTTTTAAAAAAAGTTTATGGTTTTTTTATTCGCGAAACATGAGTTAATATAATGGAAGAAAAAAGAAAAACTGAAAACCGAAAAATTCGTTGATTAAATCTTTGACGATTAAAAATGATACCGTTATAAATTATATACTTACATAATATAAATCCATACGAAGCTGCACTCGAAGTCAATACTAAACACATTTTTATTTTCGATTAATCACGAATGACCTTACGAAGGACGGTCTACAAAATCCTCGTATTCTAAGAATTCCAATGTGTAAATTCACTTCCTGGAAGCTAAGCAAAAACCGCTAGAAACTTGTTATTATCTATATGAGTACATAAACTAGTATTAGATAGTAGTAGTATAAGTATGTATATGACTACTATTACTAACTAGTATTAGATGGTAGTAGTATAAGTATGTATATGATAGTAACAAATATTTTAATAAAAAAAAACTTTAAATTTGCGTATAAATTAGACTTCCTAGGCGTAAAATTACATATAGGACTAAAGTCCAAATTGTCTAAAGCGGAAGCGATGACGTGGAAGAACTCTAAGAAATGAACCGATGGATTCTCGTCTTTAGATGCAAGAAAAGTTGTGAAGTGAATTGAATATATAACAAAATGTAATTAGTGCCTCATTAAACCAATTATTACTATACAATTTAATTAAGTCAAGTGCAATGTCTATATATTTATTTTATTAAGTTGGTACTATACTATATATATACACGTGGATATGAACTTCCTTAAGCAAAACTAAATCTACTAGTAACTAAAACATGCTTTAGTTGTTATTATTATTTGCTATAAAAATAGTTCTTAGATTTATAATATGAAGTGTTGAAATATCAAAGGTTGGCCAGCTCGTGTCGCGAGCGCGGCGCGGTGCCCAGTTAGTTACAGGAGTCTTGTTTCCGCAAACATTTTCCTTGTGTCGGATTAAAATTGTTTTATTATTTGATAAATTGTATTAAAATAATTATTTTTATTTCTTAAAGTTACTGATAAGTAGATCAAGGCTGAGTTAATTACTACCTATTTGAAACTAATTTCTAAGTGTAAACATACAAGGTTTTGGCTTATGGCTTTGTATTTTTACAAATACTCACATGGCTCTCGTTTTCTGTAGTAGTAGTAGTAGATAGTAGTTCGTACTCGTAGATCTATTCAATGGAATGGAATAAAAATTCTAAGAAGAAGTCTATAACCTGTGCAATACAAAGATCTCCGTCCAACTGTCAACACATTTTTCCCAAAAATATCATCATCATACGTTGAATGACTTTGAACTTGTTATGATACAGCTTAATTTTATGTATAGATAAATGAATGTACCTTGTTATAAAATAAAACGAGCCAAAAATGCGTTCCAAAGCTAGCACATATAAAAACATAAGCCAACGATAACGACGACAACGCTGCGAGTCGAGGGACATTACCCTAAATTATAATTGTGTTAACTGCTTTAATATGTTTATCGAGAGATGCCCAACTGTGACACAGCTATAAATACTCGATACTCTGCTAATTAAACACATTAGATGAATATTTAAATTATTCCATTCAACGGTAAACAAATAGTTAAGATTCTCTTATCTTAATGGTTCGCTCTTAAGTAAATGTGAAATAAGTTAATGATATCTAACGTTTTTATTTCTTTATAGTTTTTCAAAATTATAAAAGTTATATTAGCCTTGCGTTAGACTTTTGCAAGAATGTTTTAATTAAGGAATTATTCCTTACTAGCGACTCACCTTTGCTCCGCTCGTGTTCGTCCCTAGATACGTTTTAATGCTTAGTATAGATTTCTCGAGATTAAATATTTTCCTGCAGTAAAAAGTATCTTATATGTTGACCCGGATAACTAACTATCATGACGCTAAATTTCATAAAATTTGTCCAGCGGTTTTCTCGTGATGTGTGATAAAAATTCTAAAAGCTATAGATTCGGCCCCTGTATCGATAATGATTTCTATTTCAATAAGATTTCCAAAAAAAAATATACAGATTCAACCAAGAATTGTATTATATGTAGATATAGATGATTAATCAACCAAAATTAGGTATATTAATTAATTATTAAATATATTTATTTAGTCTTTGAATACGCATAATTTTTAAAGTTCGTAGGCTAAAAGCAAAGACGGGATGCTTGTTATTTCGTCATGTCAGATGTTTTGAGCCACTTTCGTGTTCAAGCTAATAGTTACAGAGTTATGTGACTCTGAAGTCGTAAACATTGTTACCCCCAAAGTAACTACGTGTGCTAAAACTGAACATAAAAATGTTTCATGCTAAAGACACCCTCCGTGTGCGAGACAGACTTGCATTTGCCATATTTTTATATGAAATAAAATTGACTTTTAAGTAAGCTTTACTGAGAGATCTCACCAACCATGTTACCGCATGTTGACATGATAATGATTATGAATCACATAAGTACGAGTAGGTGCATCCTGAAGTTAGCTCTAATTACTAATATTGATACATACATCTATAACATACTTGGGTGTATTACATTCATAATTAAATTACAATTATATAACATTGTGGTATTATAGTTCATTGAAACTGAAGCAAGAGGGAACGTTCCCTCCCGGTGCGGCGCTCGCGACCGCGCTCAGGAGTCATTGATCCTTGTTTTTGGGGCTTTAATTTAGCCAAAAGTAAACCGGTCCACTCGTTGGCCGCGCTCGATAAGATACAGCTGATTGCAGGTTTTTTACATCCATATCCACTACTGGAATTTACCATTTAATTTAGAGTAAGGTCGACTTTTTGATATTTTGATGCTTAGAGTTGTGTCATAACTTAGGTAGTTTGTTTTCTTACTTCTGTGATACTAAAATATATACATATAATAAAATTGTAACTAAGCCGAAACTCTACATTAAATACTTTTTTGAAAATCTTATTGAAATAGACATTATTATCGATACAGAGGCCGAATCTATAATTTTCAGAATTTTTGTCTGTCTGTCTGTTACCGCATCACTAAGGACTAAAATTCAAGGAAAAGTCACTGGAGGGATTTTGATGAAATTTGGCATGGTAATAGCTGGTTATCCGGGTCAACGTATAGGATACTTTTTACCGCGGGAAAATATCTCATTTCTGAGAAAAAAGCACAAAAACTGCAATGTAAGAGTATTCTTATATGAAAAACCTAAGAATTTGGTCTTTAGTCATCTGAACGCAGGCGGAGCCGCGGGCAATGCTAGTATTACTATACAATCTATGTCACTCTTAAGACTATTAACAAGATACAAAGACTCGCGGATGTATTGAAAACAATACACTAGGTAACTATTTGTTATGCTCGTTGAAACTAGGTAAGGGTGAAAGGTCGTCGAGCTTGCACTGAGTCTGAAAGAGAACGCAGTACTTGCTATTATAGTACTAAATAATAATACGAAATTAGTCCACTGTTAGTTACAAACTACTATTATGAATACATTATACAACCATACTTTATTAGATATGGAGTAAAACTAACAAATAAAAATATAATAAAAGCGACATTTTTAAGTATTTACATTTTTTTGATATCTGGTCAGTGTTTATGGAAAAAATATTTGGTAGCGTACTTAAACTTCAAACAGGTAATGTTTTAATAATAATAGCTCGTCTAAGCAATGAAATGGACCAACATAAAGTAGTTGCTAAGTAATAGATGTGCAAAATATTGGGATAATTTATATATAATATATAAAAGAAAATCGTCGTTAGATTTTAGGCGTTAATTTGGGTATTTTTACTTTCAAACCAATCGAGTGGGAGGTTGCAGTTTAGTATATGGGACGCGGCCCTGGAGGAGTGGGTGATATCTTTGAATAGGGGGAGTGATACGGAGTCCAAATATATAAAATTTATTTGGAGGCAACGAAAGAGTCAAAAGTTATTGCGACTTAAAGTTACATTTCCATACATTATTACGAAATTACTGCCATTTTAACACTTGGAAATGTCAAAATGTCACTTCCAAGTGCCAAAATGATCTTCAATTAATGAGAAAGTTCTATCACGGAATTATAAATTAACATAAAGCACTTATGATAGCAGGGGTTCTGGGTTTGAAATAAAAAAAAAGACCTAACAAGAAGGCTAAGGCGGGAGCTACGCTTCTCAACCTAAATTATCCAAGTCGGACTTTCACTTAATCGAAAATAAATAATACACTTGATTAAAAAAATAGTCTACTTACATTTATAGCCTACATGAGTACACTTAAAACACGAACAACACTTAAAAACTATAGAAATACTATTAAAACAAAAAAAAAATAGAAACGAATGTGTACGAAAATTAACAAAAACTAATCGCTACTGTAAAATAATATGAGAAACTTAACTATGAAAAAGAGCAAAAAATATGAAAACCTAAACGCGTTTACTGAGTATACTGTATAGATCGTATTCACATAAACTATCGAACTTTGCGGTATTTTGTGACTACCCGCCAAAAATACTGAAAAGTATTCACAGATAATAAAACCAAATAATGCAACTCAATATTTTACATAGATCAAATAAAAACTCGCAAACGCATGCATGAATTGAAAATAACATATTTCTCTTTTAAAATCTTAGTAATCTTATGATAATTTTCGTTTTTAATACTTATGCATAACTCTAAACTAATTATTAAGCGATTTAATCTGTTACCTATGTCCTGAAAACGGTATTAAAAGAAATTGATAATTTTGTCAAAATAAATAATCTTTAAGATTATTTTGTTTAGATTATTGTTGTTAGTGAAATTATAAAATATTAATACAGTAAAGTTATGAAAATATGGATTTTACACGAAAAAGGACGTTTACTATTTGTTAAAAATATGTTTATCTTTTGTAATTACTTATTTAGGTATAGAAATGTATGGAAATGTTCTAAATTTGAGTCTCCATAACTGTGGACTCCTTCGTTTAATCAAAATAATTTTTATATATTTGAACTCCCTATCACCTCCCCTATCCAAAAATACCACCGACTTATAGTCCCACATACTAAACTTGTGCCGAGTGAGATATTAAAATCTTTAAATTGAAAGGTTTTTAAATTTTAACACTTCATCAGATCAGACCGTTAGGTGTAGTTAGTTCTTAGTGTGTAGATCAAAATAATGTAATTCAAATTAATATTTTCAATTTATAAATGTGGCTATAGTATTATTTAATATTTTGGTTTTTATCAATAAATCAATAAGCCACACGGTAAGAAGATAGATGTAGTAAGTTCTTTCTTTTTCCGGTTAGCAGTTTGGTATCCTGTGATCTCAGCATGTGCACTGCTTACATGATACTTTGAGGGAATTCAACGTGCAAATAGAGTTGCCAAAAATTCGTAATAGCCAGTGGGGAGTGGCCGGGAGGGTGCGACGCCGGAGAGACGGGGGTGCTCACTCCGCTAATTAACTCGTCGGGCGCGGCAGCACTCCATTATGGACTGTTTATTGTGACAATTATTCGACCCCCCGCACCCCGCACCCCCTACCCCCCACCCTCTGCCTCGCGCCCTGTGCCGAGGGACAGCGGCCGCCGCGCCTACATTGAAAGCCTTGTTGAAGTATGCATTTCCTAAAGCCTATTATTGCCTTAAGCTTTTGGTATATACCTCATCATGGTATACTCACTTCATTGTGTTATGACACAATCAAATAGCTTACTTGAGAAATTAATCTATAGCATGTTTAGATTGAGTTTCAAAATTGAAGTCATAGCATAAGGGTTCACTTGGTTCATGATTTGACAAGTTTACAACAATAATTGTTGAATCTTTTCAATAATACGTGTCAAAAGACATTTTTTTTGTGGTCACTTAGGTAAAGCCGATATATGAGGTGTCAAAGTTTTATCCGTTTAAAGTTTCATCAATAGTAAAAACAAATACCTAAGTGTGGAGTGCGGGAGACAGCGCGTGCGAGCCGATGAACTCAGTATTTGAAGTGGCAATTATCAACAATCTGAACCTCATTAGAGCCTCTTAGAACCGCTTCTTTCTACTCGTCTGCAGCAAATACGGGCTACGCATCGTAGGCCCATTGAAGAAACTTTGGAAATACGTAAATTCCATATACGCATAAATAAAACTTTATTTTCCTATAAATAAATGAGATTAACGTTTTCTATAGAAAATCCCATCTGATCTTCTACTAAAAACTGTTTTTAAGTGTACGTTCGCACGCTCCACAAACAAATTCTAGTTCCATTCAGTGTACTATGTTGGTATTTATATACTGTATTTTATTATATACATATATAGATTATAATCTTTATGCGAGGTAATGTCTACATATTTTTGATTTTGCGTAATTCGAAGCCCTGCGGCCGGGTGCCTTTTGCAGCGCATGCGCAGCAGAAATGTGAACCTATCCTAACAACATGCACTCGTAGCTTTACATCTTCAACCTGGTTGCATAAAACTATTCAACTGTCTAGTTGTATATTTTTATGTTATAATTTAACTGTTTTACAAATACATACAGACACAAAATGTAACTAAAATTATTTATACATATTATGTAAAATACATCATAATCAGTTGAGTCTATAATAAAATTAAGAAGATTTCCAAATTCATTTTCTTTTCATATAAATTGTATATTTATGTCTCCGTTTACTAATTTAATGATGAGACTTTCACCTGTCGCAGACGAGTAGCGACTGACATTCGACTGATAATAATGACTTACATGATACGCTTAAGTGGAAAATTAAAATGTAATGAATCGAAACGACTTCAAGGGAATAAAATGAAAGCACATATTATAGGATAGAGAAATGTAAATGTAAGAGAAAATGGTTAGTTTCCAGAAAATGTTTCTGAGAATCACGTCTGTTTGATTTGTGTAAACATTCGTTGCATGAGAAAATTGAACTTGCGATCCAGTTAGGGATGGGTTATTAACGTAGACGTAGCAAGACCGTAAAGGCACATAAAGAAATAACCTTATAGTTATAACGACTCTACGTACTAGAAAGCTAATATTCTTTTTCGATACAATATATTTTAATAATCTCGGGTTGTAAGGAAATAAATTAACAACACAAGCGGCGAATCGCTAGTATCTAATTCTTACACGAGTGAAGTCGCGCAAAAGCACAGTGGCAACGAGAGGCATAGCATTATGCTAATGCGTCGTAATGTCCATAGCGCTGATTGACGATTATTGTGCGAGCGACCACTTTATAACGATATAAAATGAAAGAATCCCCTCATTTGCAAGTTAATTTCATTCTTGTTGTCAGAAACTGTGTTTCAGTTTTGGTTAGAGCCGCGGTTTATCGACGCGGCTGGGTGACGCGCACATATTAAGCATGCGCGGCGCTCGCATACACACGTAATTGCTTTAATTATAGTAATCGAGTTAAACATAATATGTTAGGATTACAACTTCAAAATATCTTACAATTGATGTTTTATTGCTATTATATACATTATTGAAGTACTAGTATGGCTTGTCTATAGTTAGATGCGACTAAGTAATTTGTAGCAAGAGGCTGATATCTCACGGGAACCACTTTAAGTGTCCGAATAAAACGTAGGTACACTATCTCTGTCTAAAATTGCCGGTGTTGTTGTTGCTAAAACAACAACAAACCCCAAACAAAAACATCTTCATTTTTATAATATTAATTAGTAAGGTTTAAAACTGCAACTACATTCTGTTAATTAAAAAGTAACAATTAATTAGATTTTTGTGAACGCATTTTAATTATCACGTAAGAGTTAAATGTTAGTACCTAATGGAGTTTATTTGACGTTGTGATTTACGTAACGATGCGCGGGCGCAGGCGACCCGGACCCGTCGGGTCACGCGCTATCTGCCAGCCACATACAATACCACGTACACACTACCACTACTCAGGATAATATTGTGCTTAATTGTAATCATTGTTTCTTATATCCATATATGTTCCAATGACACAAATAGATTTTTTTTAATAGACAATAGAATCAATAGTTGGATATATTTAATTAAATGCCAAATTAAAAACAAAAGGTCCGCAATGTATGTTTGATAAATAGTTTGTCGGTTCACAAAGTTCCTTGGTCTAATTGCCAGCGTTGCCGGTCGCGGAGGACGCGCGCGGCGCTGTATGCCGCCGCGCCAGTGTGCGTGTGATAAGAGGTCGCGCGATAACCCGGCCGAGGCCATCGGGGGCTTCGACACTTTTTCTGTCATACAATTTTAGTATTTATCAAATAATTTATTACAGTTGATAGTGCGCTGGAGAGTGAGAATTGTTGTCAAGTGCACATCAGGCGCGGGTAGCGATTGACGACAGACAAATGCTGCCCGATTGTGACGGCCTCGTATTTTTTGCCGCCGATGGCCGCATGGGCAGAGATGGGACTGTTTCAAACACGTGGAGAGCGACGCCAGCACGACACTAGGACGACGCTGGGACGATGCCGGGACGGCACTGGAACGTTGCCTGGAAGGGGCCGGTGCGCTCCAGCTACGCACCATTTAATGTTACTCGTTATCGCGTCACAAAAAGGAAATTCTATTTATAAACGGCAGGAAAACAATAAATTTCATGAATGAAACACATTGATGTTAAGAATTTGATGACGTTGTATACCAAATTTAAGTGACCAGTTTACTGCAGCTGTTAATTGCTGATTGTTGTTTATTAAGAAATAATTGTATCAACTTAAGCTATTATATTTTATATTCTTATCTATACTAATAGGTAAAGTTTGTGAGTTTGTCGTAGTTGTAGGGAATAATCTCTGGATCTACTGAACCGATTTCGATGAAATTTGGTAAGAAGATGGTTTGAGAGAGTTGTCGCTAGTAGTACTATAAAGATAATTGAAGAAACTAAAAATTATGTAGCTTAAATAATTAATACTATATTTTATACTTTTCTTTATGGTTATAAATATAATAATGGCAACACTAAATATACATTACTAATTAATATTTTTAAAATTGTAAAATTATAATAATAAGGCAAAAATTAAATAAATAATATTCCATATTCAATTATAAAACTAATTAAAATTATAAAACTGTTTAAAGTTAAAAAATATTGTAAGGTGCAATTTTCATTTTGTTATTTGTGGGTAGGCTGTCTGTAATAATTTCCCGTGACCATGATTGCTGTAAAGCATTCGAATCGTCGGGAACCAAAAATCCAAATAAATCCGCGAAAAAATCGGAAAAGATAGTTTTATTTAAAATGACGAAACCCGTAAGAATATGTATGTTATACTTATATTTTCCACATTACTTGTGTTAGTAACAAACACGTACGATGCATTATTTTATTTATTGAAGGGCAGATATAAATGGTATAAAGTTAAATAATTGGGTGAATGTCAAGGGACGCTCTAAATACTTTACGATAATATAACTGAATGGTGAAAGGAAATAAAAAAAAGTTATTATTGTATGTTATAAAATTTATTCGTATTTTACAACACACACTTTGTTGTAGTCATTAGATAGTAAAACAGTATATTATGATAGGTACTAATATTAACTTATACCGTAGACTCATGATGCTTAGTAAAAAATTGTAATAATTCAATGCTGAATAAATATAAATATTTTGAATTTGATTTAAGAAGTTATTAGCTTTTTCATTCCTAAGAGCTCATCTCGCGAGAGGTCATCTCCTAAGAGCTGGATTTTCATGAAAATATAAGAGATATGTCTATCATCTGTCTAATTTGAAATTTTATTAGTTCTATTCTTATAGATATATCAAGTATATACACGAACCCAAAAAAAATCTATACTAATATTTATTATGATAGATTTGTTTTGTTTTTCTAAAGGCGAACACGAGCGAAGCGGGGATGAGCCGCTCTAGGTTTGAAATAGATTTTTGACAGGCTTTTTTGTTGTAGTAAGACTTTATTAAGTTATTATTTTGCAACAAAATGTATTCAAGCGTCGAATGCATGCGGTTTTCGTTTCATGCACATAATGTGTGCAATGTTCAGTGAGCGTCGCAGGTCGCGTGGCGCGTGGGCGGTGTGGGTCGCGTGCACCCTCTGCCTCAAGGCAGCCGTATCTACTTTATATACATATACCTATGTACATTGTACATATATATATATATATATATGTACAATGTATATATATATATATCTACATTTGATTAATCTGACTCAAAATTCAGGTTTCTAGCTTTATCCATAACGAAGTTATGGGGGGGGGAGGGGTGGAAAACGCTCTGAAGATCGCTTCGAAAAAAGGATGGTACTACCGTGCCCTTTTTTGCTCGACTTGGCGGGGGCACTCCGTGCCCCCCGATAAGTTTTTTAAAAGATGTGAGCTGTAATGTAAGCGAAAGTTTTCATTTATAATTAAATTTATATTAATGTATATTTTTAACATTTATGTATTTTTATTTATACAAAAAAAATGCCAAACTATGTTGAAGATCCACTTGAATAACTACAATGAAGTTTACTTATTTTAAATTTTCAACAAACGCTATATACATTTATATCAAGAATTTTATATACTCCAAATCCAAAAAAATAAAAAAAAGTATTTCCAAATATAATATGATAGAAATATGTAGGTACATATAATTTGTGGAAAACCGTGTTATATTTGCATGTCATAATGTGTTTTATTTAACCTTTGAATGAATAACACGTGGATGTTATTACAATTTTATCTTATTGTTTAACTTTGTATTAGTCTTATTGTAAAACTGTAAATATTCTTCTTCTTTTATGCCGTTCACGGGACAAAGAGTGACTATTGTAGTATCATGTACATTATCCTAAAAAGTAACGGGAAATGACTGGTTATTTTAAACTTGCTCTACGTGTACTAACCTACTCAAAATCTTTATATTTAATTGTTTAAATTAATCTTTGATATTTATGGTTAGGCTCGGCGTCGCCCCTAGACGCGGTCACCTTGCGTTTAATTAAGCACCACTCAAACGAATTAGGCCCGCCGTCTCCGTTTGTTGTTACGCTATCAACGCGAGGAAGCTCCTCTCTCTGACCACCGACCCGTAGATAATATATTAACCACAAACATGAAATGTTCTGTGCTTATGACTTTTCAAGCAGCGAAACGTTTGAATAAAAATAATTACGTATATATTGCGAGGTGCGGTACCTACTGACTTCCACGTAAAGGCACAGACGAATGTTGTAAAATTTTATTGTGAGTTAATTCTAATAAAGAAATTTAAAAACAATATATTAGGTAGCTAAGAATAACCATTTGTTTCGGTTCGTTTTCAGCTCGGGACCAATATTTTCAAATATTATTTGCATCTTGTTTTACTTATTCATTCATGTACTCGTACATTGCCGTAACACTCTTTGTGTGTTAGTATATTTAGATTTTGTTTAAAATAAGGAACTAATTTTTGGTTGAAATTGGATTCAAAAAACCGGTTTTGGAATCTAGAACTAGATAATTAGCATTAATATGAATATTATACAGTGTGAGCGCTAGACGTAGAGCTGGGTGCACACGAATATCTTTTATATAATATAGATACGAGTATTACACTTTAATTATGATTTATGACGGACACCAGCGGGGTGTGAAATAATTGCTTGTATGATGTCACAGTTACACATGAAATGCCAGGATACATTAGTCAAAGAATTTATCCTTTGGGGTGACTCTAAGGGTGTGTAGTTTTATATTAGCGAAAGAGTTTTCAAAATAGATTTTTTCGTACTTAGTATTAAGTATACTAAATGCAAAAGTTTATAAGTGAGTGTGTTTGTTGCTTCTTAGCGCTGTTACAGTTCATTAGATTTCAGTGAAATTCTACATAGATTATATCGTTTATTAACACACAGCTACTTTTTAACACGCAAAACAAGTGTCCGTTATTTGTACATGTATAAATATGATAGAGTTTTAGCTGAGTCGAATCTGTACTTGTCTGTCTGTCCGTCCGTCCGTCCGTCCGTCCGTCCGTCCATCCGTCCGTCCGTCCGTCTGTCTGTCTGTCTGTCTGTCTGGGAACGCATCATGAGAAAACCACTGAACAGATTTTGATGAAATTTGGTATGATGATAGCTGGTTATCCGGGTCAACATATAGAATACTTTTTACTGCGGTAAAACATCTCATTTCTGAGAAAACTATATAAAACGTTAAAAGTTAAAACTTAAGTAGGGACGAACCCAAGCGGAGCGGTGGTAAGTTGCTAGTGGTATTATATAAAATATGTGTAAGATCATGTATAACAGATTTAATGACAACGTCGTATTGCTAATTTTACATACAGATGTTTATGACTGACACTTTCAAGGTGTCTTGGCGCTTATAGGCATGTGATACGTTAAGGAGGCGCCCAACTGTGAGGTGGCTACACGAGTTGTAGCGATCGGGGATCGCTTAAATTATAATTAGGTAGTTAGGGGTGGTTAGTTAACTATGACAAATGCGAGGCGCGGGGGCGAGGGGCGGGGGCGCGTGGCTGGCGTGATGTACAGGCTATTTGTCAGGGGCACGAGAGCCGCGCCCGGACGTCTAATGCTCGTAAAAAATTCGATATTTTGATTTTGTAACGGTGGCGAATAGTCATATAAGTAAATGGGATAGATTCTATTCGTTTATTAGGAATGTATTATTTATTAATTGGTATTTTTTTATTCAACACTAGCGATTTACCCTCGCTCCGCTCGGGTTCAACACTTTAGCGGTTTACTCGTGATGCGTTCCCAGACGAACTGACAAAAATTTTATACAATAAGGTTTTCCGATAATATTTCCGGGATAAAAAGTATTCTATGTCCTTCTCAGGGTCACAAACTATCTTCGTACCAAATTTCATCTAAATCGATTCAGTAGTTCCAGAGATTGCTTCATGGAAACTCACAAACTTTTAAACTTTACCTCTTTATAATATTAGTACGAAAAAAACCCCTTAGGGAGGAGATATTTCTTTAAATTTATGAGATACCACCCTCAATATATAAAAATTCAAAATTCAAATATCACGTGATATACTCGCACACAAGAAACTTGCTGCCGAACTGCGAAACTTAAAAATAAACAAAAAAATTAAAGCTACAAATTTAAAAGAGAAGAACTTTGATGAATTACTATAATGTATTACTAGTAATACTTATTGCTATTACCGATATCATTTAACTCATGAATAGTTTTAGCATTTTATTTAATACATTACAACGTGACGATTTTATTAGTGTTTTGTAATAGATCTTCGGTAATCATCATTTGCTTTAATTAGTCAAATTACTGACAAGATGATTAAATATGGGGCTATATGTAGCGATGTCAAGACATGCTGTTTGTATTATTCTTGAATTATCTGTATGATTTGTATGTAATTTGCCTTTGGGTTTCTTAAGACTATCTATCTGAGTCAAGATACTTAATTTTATAGTTTGTATAAACTTCAATGATAACTTTAACAACAACGACATTTATTGACCTTTTAATAGCTTGCCTTAGAGATAAAACATTTGCTTTACGGTTTTATTAGGCATATGTAGGTATGGAATCAATTTATGGAAATTTTGTATTTTTGCAGTGGTATGCTAATAGTATTGTATTCCTTTTTAACGTCCCACTGCTGGGCACGGGCCTCCGTTTAATACGAGGGGGATCAGGTCATAGTCCACCACGCTGGCCAATTGCGGGTTGGCGGACTTCACATGTCTTTTGAAAACTTGTTAGGTTCTCTCAGACATGCAGGTTTCCTCACGATGTTTTTCCTCCACCATAAGGCAAGTGGTAATCATGTTAGAAATGATTCGCACATGAAAATATCAGAGGTGCGAGACCCGGGATTTGAACCCGCTTCACTCGTTTTCCCAAGCAAGCGCGTTACCACTGGGCTACCACTGCCTTGCTAACAGTAATAATATGAAATAAAGCTATAACACTGACTGACAGGCATCGTACAGACTTATGTGCGTGAATAAGCATAACGTTTTGCAGAAAAGCTTCTTATACATAATAAAACGATGCCTACTAAAAATGACATTTAAAAATTCATCCTCTAAGGGGTAGGTGATGAAAGTAATTATGAAAATTGGTATTAACTGTTCAGGCTTCGTTTAAACCCCATCAGACACACGACGTGCTATAATTTAATGAGTTAAATTAATGATATGATATAATTAGTAATCTGGAGGTAAGTAGGTCGGGCGTGCCACAGGTCGAGCTACAGGTGGGGCGGCGCGCCCTGAGCGCACCCGCCCCGCCGCCCGCCGCACCGCGCCCACTCTCCTCGCTCCCTTGACACTCTTTATTTTGATTACAAATACTTTCAATTCAGAATACAAGTCTTACTATGTAATAATTTAATAGACGGTTAAAATTTTATAAGTAAGACAGTAAAAATCTGTATTCAAATGCTTAAAAGTTTCAATTGTGTTATATTCTTCATTGAACTTTAAATATCAAAATATTATATACAATATATTATATACGATCAGATTTTATATTATCCACATACTACATATTGTAAAGTGTGATAGGACACTTACACACACCTAAATAAATAGGTAATAGAAGCCTCAAATCCAAATCCGTTTGCGTTCCTTCTCTTAAGAACTATAAAATATGTATCTGAAAATTAGTAAATATAAACTACATCGTTGTGGTTTAAAATAGGTAACATTCATTTGTTTTGTCATGAAGTTCTAGGAAAAGACAATAATACATGAGCTGAAAATGAATTAAACGTGTTTACGCGTAGTTACGTAGAGTTACGTTAGCAAATAAATTCTCGAACAGAGTGGCGTTGTAACATTCAATAAATTTCAGAACAATTTTGTGCGTGGCTGTTAACATATTATTATATCGCAACTATTAAGCTTTGATATTTTTTTATCAGTTTAATAACCTTTTATCGGCTCTATTATCGCTGTATAATGACGCCTTCGACTTCGCACACTCTCTCTATTAGAGACACATCTAACCGAGGAATTTGAATAAAATATATTTATACTTATCAATATGCAATGGAAATACGATACTGAAAAATGCTATCGAAAAACTCAACAGATGCTATTTTAATTGTTTTTGTACATATTATATGTTAGCTATTCTACGCGAAAGTGAAAGTTTATTAATTCCGTGCATTCCTATCTACTATAATATATAACTGAATTCTTTAAAACTTGTCGTTATAGAGTCTATTTTCATTCATTGTAAGATTTATTTTATAATAATTTATTTTGTTTTAAAATTTATTTATAAATCGACTTTACTTTTGTCTTTAATACTTTTAGTATTTATTTCATTACAAATGGCACAGAAATAGACAGCTAAATTATACTTTATTACTTTAAGATGAAGTAATGTACTAAGTAGGTATACAGATTATAAAATAGAAAAAAGCTCGAAATAACCTCGTAAGCTTTTTAAACACTACGAGTTAATGAGTGCTCTGATTGCCATTTTTAAAATGACATATTTATGTGGTAAGAAGGAGTATTTACTCTTTCAATCAATTATTGAAATTTACATCATTTCTTTCTTTTATGGCAGCATTGAGTGACACCGAGGGCTCCGCAGAGCTTGTACAGACTAATGATGTGTCATAAATAATAGCTACGAGTATATGGTAAACATTTATATTTCAAATTTTGAATGAGTAAGCACGGCTTCCTACACCCCTCTACCCCTCCCCCTCCACCGGACACACACTTTATTTTGCTAATGCAGGACTATTACCGTTTAGAAGGTGCAATAAAAATATTTTTATTTTTGTTAAATTTAAGATATTTTTTTCTTACAGATGTTGTTGTTATGTTGTAAATAGTGTATTCCCAAAAGGTTTTCAGTAAATTAAAAATGATCCTGTATATAGGTTTAAATTAGAATTTTATTGTATACGCTAAAAGTCTACAGTAGGCAGTAGGCAGGCTCCGCGCGATACGATACCTACTATTTGTATAACCGACAATTTTGAAAACCAGTTTCAGTGTATTCAACGAGTATAATGAATGAATTTTAAAATAGCACTGCACTCGGCGTTCGATCGCTGCGAGTTAATTAAAACAAGAAACATTCAAAATATGGTTATTAATATGAAAACTCATTAAAATATGAATTTCTATTAACCATTAAGTAAATAACAATTTGACAAGCGCAGTAAAGGCTTTATTTTCTTAGGATATAATAATATCCTAGAGATTATTACATAACATAATAGCTTCTTCGTCAATATATACATACATATGTATAACGCTTTAAATTTAATATGAAACATAAGATGTGAACGCTCAGTGGAATCCTCGTTGAGTATAAATTTTAGAATAGAAAAACTTTTCGTCCGTGATTTTTTGGTACGATTTCAACTGGTTTACGTTGTTAATAAGTTTTTTGTAAGCAAATTAGGCAGTTATTATAATGAAGCGCGCGAGGTAAAGTGTGAGTACAGTGCGCCGCGCGCGCCGCGCGCCGCCGGCAGCGAGTCGAGGGCCGGCGAGCGGTGCTGTGTCGCCGCGCGTACGCATTATCATACAGAGAAGGTCAGAGACGAGCCTCTTCGAGAATAATAAACGTAAATTCTACACTATAACAAATTTTATTAGTACGGAATAGGTAAAGGCGGCCTTAGCGTCTGAAGTTTTGCATTATTTTATTGGACGACGCTACAAAAAGAATATTAGCAAAGTATGCAAGTTGAATCAATCTACGGCAGGTGGAGGCGAGCGGGAAGACCGCGGGACGGTCGCGGGACGTATATGGAAATTTTAATTATACGCTACACGTTGTATCGCTCCGACGCGACGGCCAGGACACAGGCTAGTGACAAATAACTTCATAAAAAATAATGATTTTTTGCTCAAGTATAAAAATAGATTGTTTCCATACAACACAATTCGAAATATACCTATTGCCAATAACTAATCTCCATACCCACTGTCAGAACTTGGAAGGCTACATCTGTGTCTACTATAGAAAATTATATTATCAAATTAGATCTTATGAAGTCAAAATTCACCCAGTCACCAAATCGTGTGATATATTCATAGATTCGCATGTTATAGCAATTTTTTCGGCACTGGACAGGCGCGCGTCTGTACGCGCGGCTGGCAACCGACGCGGGTGCTACTCGGGAAGCCGCTGCGTGCTCTAATGTAGGACTAACATAATTTAACATTGAACTTGAAACACAGTGTGAGTATATTTGAAATTCAATCGACGATTTCGGATTCAATGAGGCGCGACCCGCGCGATGACGTCCGCTCTACCGACCCATACCTACACACGTTGGTTTTAACAATAAAAACCACATTATAATTTATAATAGTGCCATATTAACTTTTTATTCGATAAAAAGTTTGAAAAACACAATTTAGTCAAAAATATTGATGTATTAAAATGTAATCGCGTATTTTCTATGAGCTGTTACGAATTGGTTCACAACTTTTTCCAAATTGATCTTCTGCGTACATATGTTTTTAGTTTCATATTAATATATAATCAAAGTAAGTAAAGAAATTATTATAAAATTTTACAATGTTTGAAATTTACCTACTTGAATAAAAGATTAGCAAGTTAGACAGGCAAATTTGCCGGAACATAATATTCGTAAAATATCTTATTATAAAGCAAGCTTATAGGACCTTCTGTACATCATCAAACCAGTCTATAATCATAATATTGAATTATCACCAAAGTTCCACAGCCCACAGGTGTATCAAATACAAAAAAAACATTAGGTAGCCAGAATTTTTTTTTGGATTTCGAGCCAGAGAGACTGACAGACATGCGAACAAATCAAATAAAACTATCTTTTCGGATTTATTCGCGGGTTTATTCGGATTTATTTTATTTATCTAATATCCAGTGCGTATCTCGTGGTACAAGTCCATAAAGAAATACGGAGATATCTGTATTTCTATCGTCTATTCACACTCGCAGTGCCGCCAGAGCGCGCTCGCCGAGACTCGCAACTGCAGGCGGCAGTCACTCGCAGTGTTTGATTACACTTGCGTTGCGTCGCGTCAGCGTACGGATTATCGCTCTTCATTGTTAGCGTATAGAATTTCAAAGACAATTTTACTATAACTAATCTTGAAAATTATATTTATTACTTTTTCTAGAACAGTTAAGTCATTATGGAAAACCATGGGATGTCGTCAAGAGAGAAATATCTAATAAAAATCATTACTTTTTGTATTTACTATCATGTATACGATATAGTATACATATATTTGAATATTATGCATCAGACGCTTGGCTACTGACTAATATCCATACCCTTCTACATCAAGTAAACGGCTAATTTAAGTTAAGCCTTGAAGGAAAATTTATATAAGTTACAAAAAAATGAAATGAAAATGAGTGTTTAAATTATGATAATAACCTATAATAAGAAACATGACGTTAATTATTTTGAGTAACACAAATTTTATTATCTCTGAAGATATATTAGATTTTTTAATTAAATTGGATGAAAAATGTAATATAACTATGTAGAGTGCATCAGCGCTCGTGCGTTCGTGTGATAGCGTTGGGGACAGGCGACGCCTACTGTAGAAAGCTGCTAAGTTGCTCGTCCGTTTTGTCCTTTCCCGAGAGACCCGTCTCCTATCTAAGCAATAATATTTGTATTTTATGACTAGGCCTTTAGCCAGATTCAATTTAGCCTACTTTGTATGATGTAGAGCTGTTGCTGAGCAACTTGTTAGCACGAAATTCCACTTTTTAGTATACACATTTTTACTCTGATTTTCTTTAAATAACTTTCTTATATTATTAACTAAAGTAAACACATCTGTCCAAAATAAATAGGATTCGTCTTTGTAGTTTGATAGAATGGCAGTATAAAGTGTAAGTACTTTACATTACGCATTTAATATCTATGGATATACATATGTACTCTTGTACATAGGTACTTATTTGGATATGGAGATTGGTTTTTATTTCATACCCATATTGTAACAATAGCAACATCTTTTTACTTCGTTTACCCTTTAGTTTGATCATCATCGGTAAACGCCATTTATGATTGAATTTGAAAATAAGGAGGTATCTATTCAAATCGAGTTTATATGTATATTATGTGCATGTTACGCGATATTCTCACCAGTTTCATGATTCTTTAATGAATCGTTAATATTTAAAGAGTCTAATATAAAAGAAATCTTATGGCGGAATTACTTTTAAAGTAATATTTAAGTTGGTGTAGTTTTTAAGTAAAAATATAATTTATGCATTTTTGATTTTTATATTTCTCATCTTGATGTCAATTTCCCTCGCGGATGACTCCATGGGTCGCGCTACACATTACGCTAACTCTAACATAAAAAACGTCACTTAGTATGCAAATACAAAGACTGACCTATCAGCAAAAATGGAATCCGGGATATGAACTAGCCATCTCTGTGTATTATCATTATTATAGTTTCTTCGTTGCTGTGTGGTAGAATGATTTACTAAAAACCTCTTTTCATAATTATGATATTAATATGTATTAGCAAGGTAAGTAAGGAAGTAATTATTTAGGAATAGTGACTCACCCTCGCTTCGCTCTTATCACCATTTTCACTCAGTTAAGGGATGATTTCCGGGATAAAAAGTATCCTATGTCTTTCCCAGGGTCTCAGACTATCTTCTTACCAAATTTCGTTTAAATCGTTTTAGAAGTGTCGAAACTTCACTTAACACACATACAAACAAAAAAATCTTCCCTCGTTATAATGTTAAGACAAAGATAGATTACTATTGATTAAAGAAAATATACTTATGTATTGTTCACTATAGTTCAGCGTGACGCATACGTCACACAAACAAAGTGGGTAACGGTGCGGCTTTCGACATTGTTAGGTCAATGCAGGACCCTTCCCCAGCCAGCCCCGGGCCTCGGCACACTTTGCTCGCATTAGGCGATTAAATGCCACATACCTCGTTTGTCTTACGGACATTTATCAAGTTATTTCGAATCCCTTGTCACCTGACCATGGAATATTCCTCGAGGAAAAAACACAGCGGATTTGCCACTTATTTTTCCTTTTCCCAGGTTTTTGTTGGTGACGTTTGTCATTGTTTTCTGACGACTTTTAGTTATAACAATTTTTAAGGCTTATTATAGATCGTATTGCAGGGAATAATCTTACGAAATATGTTATCAGTACTGAATTTGGACTGGAAATATGTAGGTACATATACGAAACTTTACAACATCTTTTTTTTATATTATCTGGCTCGGGCCAAACAAGGATACCTAAGTGCCTTAGCCTTAGTTGCCTTACGTATCTATAACTTTTGGCAAATTTTATTTCCAACACTTTTAGTAAATCTATCGCATCAAAATCGTCCAGCCGGGTCAGCATGGAGGGAGCAAAACCCATACACACACATACAAATATACCTTTTATAAAAGTAGAGTGATTAATTTTCCTTTTAAAATTAATTATCTAAATAGTTCATGCGCCGGTATGAAAAGCGAATGTTCTCTCCGGCCCATAAACCGTCTCAAAGCAAGCGTGTGTCGCTCCGTCGCGTCACCGCGTGAGGTGAGGACACAGCTTACACACTTTTAAATTTATAATTAATTGTTACTCAGTCTTTATATATGCACATATGATAAAATCTCATCATTATAAACTGTAATAATTGTTCTGATTATATGTGTATTGATAGGTACGTTTTAACGGTTTATATATTATATATATATACAAACATATATATATATATATATATATATATATATATATATATATATATACATAGGTAACAGAGTTATTGAGGGTTTTATTCTAAAGTGTTTTCTCGTTGGAATGAGGTGATCTCCCGCGGTAACAAAATAGCCTATATCACTCTCCAGCTCTCCAACTATCTCCACACAAAAAATTAGGCCTATCCGTCACTCTGTTTCGATGTGAAAGAAGGACAAACAAACAAATACACTTACACATTTATAATATTAGTATGGATTGTAGAATCATTGCACATGCCTCTCAACATTGAAAGTAGAGCATTTAATTAATTTAGCTTACATAAGTTAAAAAGATTTTTCTAGCAAATGAGATACAGATCTGGTAAATCTTGAGATTACATTCTTAGTAAAATATATCATGTATGTATATCGCAGGCATTTTTAAAAAAATGTAGTAAAGTTCTACACAATGAAGTAATGTGGCTTTATTCATTATCAAATGCGTAACATTTTCGCACTGTCGAGCGCGGCGTGAGAAAACTTAAACTGTCATATTTAATGCGTCATCAGTTCACACCGTCGGCGAACAAGCTCAGTGGTTAATTATACGCCTAATGTAATTGCGGTGTGAATGTGAGCACCTCTTGTTATATTAATTACTATGAGACATCAATAACAAATTGACTTATTCGACGCCATCTATTGCAATTTATATGCACCTATTTTTGTATCTTATTTATCAGACTATATGCATAGTAAACTATAAAGTATTTATAATTTTGAAATAAATAAATAAATATCATTTTGCAAATAGAAAAAGACAACCTTATTAATACATTGGCTTGAATTCGC